GGTGCAATGCAATCATCTGACCCATAGGTGGCAGCCATCTCAAGCCAGAGGACGAGAGGACTCTAGCCGCCACGCATATAAAGGATTTAGAGTGAAAAACTTTGTTTTTACGGGTTAATTTTTCCCCCTCCCACGTTTGGCATCACCACGCGTTCCAGAGTATTCGGCTGCCACAAACTCCCACGTGGCGACGAGCCACTTTGCCGAGCGATCAATCGTGGTGGCCAGATCGCTCCTCGAAAAGCTCGACACGGCAACTCAGTGGGCCTCACCCGATGAAATAACAAGTATAACCCGTAAAAACTAAGTTTTTCACTATAAATCCCTTATATGCGTGGCTTGAGATGGCTGCCACCTATGGGTCAGATGATTGCATGGCAGCATTAAGCAATTGGTAATTCAATATAATATTTTTGTCCTAAAAAGTGTACAATTTTGGAAAAAAATTTTCACGAACATAAATTGTCACGCACAACGAGTCTGTGTGGGAAATGTCAGCTCGATTGGATCACGGGAAGTGGGTTAAAAAACGACCGAAAGATTTGCACGGTCCTAAGCAAGCAAGCAAGCAAGCGAACATAATATAAAGGATTTTAAAATGTGTTTGAAAGTTTATAGAGTGCGCAGGTGCAGCATATGATGGGATGTTGCGTCACGGGATGGCGAGGGATGGCAGCGACACGGGGAGGCCTCCATCCAGCGGCAGGCTGAGAGCCGACTGTGCCTAAATGCGACCGCGTATATTGGGACGCGACCCCTGATTTGCAAACGCCGTCACAATTAAAGTTGCCACGCGCTATTGTACGACTAAGACAACCCCCGCTTGACACGTGTCCTTTAAACACATTATCCTGCTGCGGAGGGAGCTGGTAGGAACGTCGGGTTGCTCGGTCAATGGCCAGGGTTAACGACGGCGTGGTGTATTCCGCAAATATGGCCGACTGTGAGGGCGGGCACAAGCCGGCGTGAGTAGGTTAAACGTTGAGTTTTATAAGGGCACCACGGGGTGACCAGCCCCTCCCCACCCAGCCCCACCCCTCCCACCCAGCTCCTCCCCACCCAGCCCCTCCCCAACCTCCCCACCCTCCTCACCCAGCCCCTCCCCACCCTCCCCTCTCCACCCAGCCCCACCCCTCTCATTTTTTGATGCACGACGGACGGACACAATAATCCCGTGGGCTGGTGTAACCAGAAGGTTCCTACCAGCACAATGCTGTTGTGACACTAGTGTAGGCTCTCTGAAAATAACTGATAGAAGCAAGTCAATAGACGAAAATGTGGCGTAACATTTAAGATGAATTGGTGACTCAGTACTGAGCCGACTATGCGCAATTGTGTATTTAACGTTTCCGTCATTGGAGGGGGGAAAATACGTAGACTCAAAAAAGAATACCACAATGTTTTGTCTAAAATACTGTGGGTGTCTCTTAGTCACATCTAGACACGCTGTGGGTGTCTCTTAGCCACATCTAGACACGCTGTGGGTGTCTCTTAGTGACATCTAGACACTCTGTGGGTGTCTCTTAGTCACATCTAGACACACTGTGGGTGTCTCTTAGTCACATCTAGACACACTGTGGGTGTCTCTTAGTCACATCTAGACACTCTGTGGGTGTCTCTTAGTCACATCTAGACACACTGTGGGTGTCTCTTAGTCACATCTAGACACTCTGTGGGTGTCTCTTAGTCACATCTAGACACTCTGTGGGTGTCTCTTAGCCACATCTAGACACTCTGTGGGTGTCTCTTAGTCACATCTAGACACTCTGTGGGTGTCTCTTAGTCACATCTAGACACTCTGTGGGTGTCTCTTAGTCACATCTAGACACGCTGTGGGTGTCTCTTAGTCACTTCTAGACACTCTGTGGGTGTCTCTTAGTCACATCTAGACACTCTGTGGGTGTCTCTTAGTCACATCTAGACACTCTGTGGGTGTCTCTTAGTCACATCTAGACACTCTGTGGGTGTCTCTTAGTCACATCTAGACACTCTGTGGGTGTCTCTTAGTCACATCTAGACACTCTGTGGGTGTCTCTTAGTCACATCTAGACACGCTGTGGGTGTCTCTTAGTCACTTCTAGACACTCTGTGGGTGTCTCTTAGTCACATCTAGACACTCTGTGGGTGTCTCTTAGTCACATCTAGACACTCTGTGGGTGTCTCTTAGCCACATCTAGACACTCTGTGGGTGTCTCTTAGTCACATCTAGACACGCTGTGGGTGTCTCTTAGTCACTTCTAGACACTCTGTGGGTGTCTCTTAGTCACATCTAGACACTCTGTGGGTGTCTCTTAGTCACATCTAGACACTCTGTGGGTGTCTCTTAGTCACATCTAGACACGCTGTGGGTGTCTCTTAGTCACTTCTAGACACTCTGTGGGTGTCTCTTAGTCACATCTAGACACTCTGTGGGTGTCTCTTAGTCACATCTAGACACTCTGTGGGTGTCTCTTAGCCACATCTAGACACTCTGTGGGTGTCTCTTAGTCACATCTAGACACGCTGTGGGTGTCTCTTAGTCACTTCTAGACACTCTGTGGGTGTCTCTTAGTCACATCTAGACACTCTGTGGGTGTCTCTTAGTCACATCTAGACACTCTGTGGGTGTCTCTTAGTCACATCTAGACACTCTGTGGGTGTCTCTTAGTCTCATCTAGACACTCTGTGGGTGTCTCTTAGTCACATCTAGACACTCTGTGGGTGTCTCTTAGTCACATCTAGACACTCTGTGGGTGTCTCTTAGTCACATCTAGACACTCTGTGGGTGTCTCTTAGTCACATCTAGACACTCTGTGGGTGTCTCTTAGTCTCATCTAGACACTCTGTGGGTGTCTCTTAGTCACATCTAGACACTCTGTGGGTGTCTCTTAGTCACATCTAGACACTCTGTGGGTGTCTCTTAGTCACATCTAGACACGCTGTGGGTGTCTCTTAGCCACATCTAGACACTCTGTGGGTGTCTCTTAGTCACATCTAGACACGCTGTGGGTGTCTCTTAGTCACATCTAGACACTCTGTGGGTGTCTCTTAGTCACTTCTAGACACTCTGTGGGTGTCTCTTAGTCACATCTAGACACTCTGTGGGTGTCTCTTAGTCACATCTAGACACTCTGTGGGTGTCTCTTAGTCACATCTAGACACTCTGTGGGTGTCTCTTAGTCACATCTAGACACTCTGTGGGTGTCTCTTAGTCACATCTAGACACTCTGTGGGTGTCTCTTAGTCACATCTAGACACTCTGTGGGTGTCTCTTAGTCACATCTAGACACTCTGTGGGTGTCTCTTAGTCACATCTAGACACTCTGTGGGTGTCTCTTAGTCACATCTAGACACTCTGTGGGTGTCTCTTAGTCACATCTAGACACTCTGTGGGTGTCTCTTAGTCACATCTAGACACTCTGTGGGTGTCTCTTAGTCACATCTAGACACTCTGTGGGTGTCTCTTAGTCACATCTAGACACTCTGTGGGTGTCTCTTAGTCACATCTAGACACTCTGTGGGTGTCTCTTAGTCACATCTAGACACTCTGTGGGTGTCTCTTAGTCACATCTAGACACTCTGTGGGTGTCTCTTAGTCACATCTAGACACTCTGTGGGTGTCTCTTAGTCTCATCTAGACACTCTGTGTGTGTCTCTTAGTCACATCTAGACACTCTGTGGGTGTCTCTTAGCCACATCTAGACACACTGTGGGTGTCTCTTAGTCACATCTAGACACTCTGTGGGTGTCTCTTAGCCACATCTAGACACTCTGTGGGTGTCTCTTAGTCACATCTAGACACACTGTGGGTGTCTCTTAGTCACATCTAGACACTCTGTGGGTGTCTCTTAGTCACATCTAGACACTCTGTGGGTGTCTCTTAGTCACATCTAGACACTCTGTGGGTGTCTCTTAGTCTCATCTAGACACTCTGTGTGTGTCTCTTAGCCACATCTAGACACACTGTGGGTGTCTCTTAGTCACATCTAGACACTCTGTGGGTGTCTCTTAGCCACTTCTAGACACTCTGTGGGTGTCTCTTAGTCACATCTAGACACTCTGTGGGTGTCTCTTAGTCACATCTAGACACACTGTGGGCGTCTCTTAGCCACATCTAGACACGCTGTGGGTGTCTCTTAGTCACATCTAGACACTCTGTGGGTGTCTCTTAGTCACATCTAGACACACTGTGGGCGTCTCTTAGTCACATCTAGACACTCTGTGGGTGTCTCTTAGTCACATCTAGACACTCTGTGAGTGTCTCTTAGTCACATCTAGACACTCTGTGAGTGTCTCTTAGTCACATCTAGACACTCTGTGGGTGTCTCTTAGTCACATCTAGACACACTGTGGGCGTCTCTTAGTCACATCTAGACACTCTGTGGGTGTCTCTTAGTCACATCTAGACACTCTGTGAGTGTCTCTTAGTCACATCTAGACACACTGTGGGTGTCTCTTAGTCACATCTAGACACACTGTGGGCGTCTCTTAGTCACATCTAGACACTCTGTGGGTGTCTCTTAGTCACATCTAGACACTCTGTGGGTGTCTCTTAGTCACATCTAGACACGCTGTGGGTGTCTCTTAGTCACTTCTAGACACTCTGTGGGTGTCTCTTAGTCACATCTAGACACTCTGTGGGTGTCTCTTAGTCACATCTAGACACGCTGTGGGTGTCTCTTAGTCACATCTAGACACACTGTGGGTGTCTCTTAGTCACATCTAGACACACTGTGGGCGTCTCTTAGTCACATCTAGACACTCTGTGGGTGTCTCTTAGTCACATCTAGACACTCTGTGGGTGTCTCTTAGTCACATCTAGACACTCTGTGGGTGTCTCTTAGTCACATCTAGACACTCTGTGCGTATCTCTTAGCTACATCTAGGACACGCTGTGGGTGTTCGGACACCCAAGACATCCACAGTGGCAATGCCCCCCCCACCGACCACACACGGCTGGGCACGGCTCCTGGTTAGCAAACAACAAAAACAGCGACACAATTCAAAGACTCGGCAGCGGGTGAGTAAACAACATTCTGTATTGCACAATGAACACAGCGACGACGGGCAACGCGCACTGGAGCTTTGCAAGGCGTGTAGTATTTAATATGAATTGTGGCAAGAAGTGTGGCTGTATAGGCAGCGTCAGCGACGAGGACGACTATTTACAATTCACACCAAACCCCCGCGCCACCCCCCACCGCTGAACGAGACGCCTTCGTCGAACGCTTCACGCGGCGCTCTTTCAGGGAGCCGCCAAAACGGGGACGGCGCCTCCGGCCCTTGTGCTGCGACCGGCGCCTTGCGCCACGCGGCCACCCAAATAAATACGGCTCGCCGCCACGCCCCTAGATGTCGGACTTAGCCGGGCGCAGGCGACTGTAGGCGGCGTTGAGCGCCAGCAGCAGCCACATCTCGAGGGCGGTGCCGAGCGCGACGAGGAACGGCGCCCGCGACGTGCGGTCCGCCTGCGCCTGCGGCAGCGACAGCTGCAGCACGGCGAGCGCCAGCAGGCTGTTCTGCGCGCCGCACTCGATGGCCACGGCGCGGGCCGCGGGGCCCGGCAGGCGCGCGGCCCGGGCCAGGGTCGCTCCGACCAGGAGCCCGCAGACGGGCACCAGCGCGGCGGCGCCGTAGAGGCCCGCCGGGGCGCCGCCGCCGCCCAGCAGCGAGACGGCGGCGTGCGCGCCCACGTAGAGGCCGCCGAGCGCTACCGCCAGCGTGAACGGGCGGATCACGTCCAGCAGCGCCTCGGCGAGGAGCGGCCGCCGGCGCCTGACGAGGGCGCCCAGCGACACGGGCACCAGCACGAAGAGCAGCGTGGCGAGGATGCGCGAGAAGGGCACGCGCAGCGTGTGGTGCACGCCCAGCGCCCGGCCGTAGAGCGCCGTCGACGCCGGCATGGCGGCGACCGCCACCAGCGTGGAGGCGAGCGTCATGGCGAGCGCCAGCGCCACGTCGCCGCCCAGCAGCAGGCTGTAGAGGTAGCCGCCGCCGCCGCCGGGGCAGGAGCAGGCCACCACGAGCCCCAACGAGAGCTCCTCGTCCAGCGCGAAGGCGCGCGACAGCCCGTAGCCGAGCAGCGGCATCACGACAAACTGCGCCGCCAGCCCCAGCGCGATGGGCGCCGGCCGCGAGCGCAGGCCCCGCAGCGCCTCGCCGTCCATCTTGCAGCCGAAGGCGCACTTGTTGAACAGCACGAAGGGCAGCAGTATGTAGAGCACCGGCGAGTCCAGGAAGTGCGACACGCCCGCCGGGGCCCAGCCCGCCGCCGTGCCGTTGCCCGGCAAAATCCCCGACCTCGGACTGGCGCCGCCGCCGCCGCCGTAGAAGAGGGTGGCGTTTGCCGCGGAGGGTGCGGCTGCTGCACCGGTGGTCTCAACGGTGGTGGCGACGGTCGCCGAGGCGGTGCCGTTGGCGACGGCGGCGGTTGTAACGGCCGTCGTCATCCTGTGCGCGTTCGGCTCGGTCGGCCGTGGAAACGGTTTCACCGGGGCGGTAGAGACCTCCCCGTGTTCCTCCATTCGCCCCGCCAGGAGGTGAGCCCTGCGCAGGGAGTTCCCGTCGATTCTCCCGCTCCCATCGGAACCCGTCGCGGGGTTACCGCTCAGAAACGACTGGAGCGGTTCGCCCGCGACGGCGGACCGGTGCCCCGAGGTGTTGGCCAGGACCTCGGTCGCGGTTCTGGCCGGCGACGTTTCTGGCCAGGCGCCGGCTTGGTCCCGCGGCGCCGCCCGGCTCAGCGTGGCGGCGCAGAGGAGGAAGAGCGCCGCACGGCCCGGTCGGGGCCATGAGCCGGCGCGCATCCCCCAAGCAGCGCCAACGAAGGCCGCCGACGCCTCTCGCTCTCTCCGCCGGGTGACGGCGTGCGTTTGGGCGCGACCCAGCGCTTATTTGACGGCTCTCGCGCCGGCTGCCATGCTGTCTCCCGCGCGATCGGAGCCTGTCGGGACAGGTCAGGGTTCAGGACGCATGCACCGCAGCAGCAGCAGCGTCGTGGTGGTCGTGGTGGTGGTCGTGGTGGTGGTCGTGGTCGTGGTGGTCGTGGTCGTGGTGGTCGTGGTCGTGGTGGTGGTGGGTGGTGGTGGTGGTCGTGGTGGTGGTGGTGGTGGTGGTCGTGGTGGTGGTGGTCGTGGTGGTGGTGGTCGTGGTGGTGGTGGGTGGTGGTGGTCGTGGTCGTGGTGGGTGGTGGTGGTCGTGGTGGTCGTGGTGGTGGTGGTGGTGGTGGTCGTGGTGGTGGTGGTCGTGGTGGTGGTGGTGGTCGTGGTGGTGGTGCAGGATCAACTCTCGTGCACCTCGGGACTGCCTTTATTGCAGTGCCGGGTGACATCTACCGTACTTTCGTGACTGCAGGGATTCATCTTCTTGGTTCTTTCGGTAAAGTCACGTAGAAGGGAAGTAATAAAATAATAAAAATAAAACATAATTCTCACGACGTTTCGGCCACAACGCAAGCAGCCGTCTTCAGGTGAAGAACAGGTCTACACTACTATACACTAGACGCTGTCTTTCCGACAGACCTGTTCTTCACCTGAGGACGGCTGCTTGCGTTGTGGCCGAAACGTCGTGAGAATTGTATTTTATAATGTTTTATTTTTATTATTTTATTATTTCCCTTCTACGTGACTTTACCGAAAGAACCAAGAAGATCTCCCGTACTCTTTCATCCGAAAGATATGTGCGCTTGCTTTGCGAAATTGTTCCACGTGACAATACATTGTTGCGCATGACGATACGGCTTGTAAAGAACTTTGTCAATCCACCGCTGAATGAAAACCTCCCCACGCGGTGCGGGTGATGGTGGTTACTTGAACATACTTCACCACTGCTGGTCAATGCAAGTCGGTTATTGGGGGCGCAGGAGCGGTTGAGATATCACTTGCCGATGACGTTAGCGGTGGCTAGGCCAAACCAGGAGGACTTCTTCACAATGCCGGCTATCGCCCGATGAATCTGGTTGCAAATCACCAGCGAAACGCCGTACTCGAATTGTAAATGTTGCGGGTTTACTCCCCAACACAACCCGCTGTGCTGTACGAGTAACGAATTGGCACCTGATAATTGATTTTTTACCCTTTTATCTGGCAACAAAACTGACACCTTTTTTACGAGGAGTCATGTTTGCATAGACCACAATACCTGCAGTCGTAATGCAAACAAAAAACATAACTCTGATAATGTATGCACTGTCCTTAAAGTTGATTGGTCTACACCCGAGACAGCTTTCCTTAGAGCCTAGTCTCACATGGTGTTGGACCAGATGACGCTAAAAGGCGCACAACTCAAAGACAATGCACCATCAGAGTATGAGAGCTCGGGGTAAGCATTTACACCATTGGAACCTCATTTGCCAGTAAAAAATATGATAATTGTTTTTTTACCCTTCTATCTGGCAACAAAACTGACACATTTTTTACAAGGAGTCATGTTTGCATAGACCACAATACATGCATTCGTAATGCAAACAAAAAACATAACTCTGATAATGTATGCACTGTCCTTAAAGTTGATTGGTCTACACCCGAGACAGCTTTTCTTAGAGCCTAGTCTCACATGGTGTTGGACCAGATGACGCCAAAAGGCGCACAACTCAAAGACAATGCACCATCAGAGTATTGCATTCCGACTGCAGGTATTGTGGTCAATGCAAACATGACTCCTTGTAAAAAAAAGAGTGTCAGTTTTGTTGCCAGATAAAAGGGTAAAAAAACAATTATCATATTTTTCTACTGGCAAATGAAGTTCCAATGGTGTGAATTGGCACCTTTTGTTTACGAGACAAACCTTACTGACTGGCTGTGTCGGGTGAGGGCGGATTTAACAACACGTTTATATTTCCGCAATCTAATCCCAAAAACACCTTTATTATTGTTATGGGTTCGGGGCCACTGTATTCACATCGGAGTGCATGTGTGATGCCGCCGCCGCGAAGCCGTTCGGCAGGCGCCAAATCCCCGACCTCGCCACCACCAAGCAACAGAGCTGACCCCTTGTCTCCCTCACCTCACCTCACATGAACACACCCGCACTCATTTCCCCCCCCATAGAGCTCCGAGGGGAGGTCGCCTGGCCGACCGGTTTTTATCCGAGAAACCCTTATCGGGATCAACTCTCACGGTTTCCGGCGATCAGGGAATTGGATGACCTCCCCCGTGCTACGTGGCACCGCGGCGCTGCGACCAGCCTTAATATGGTGTGGTCGCGGCATGGGGCATTCGGCCACCGCGGTTGAGGCGCATTTCCCCCCACACACACCCCCACGGGTCGACGGGGCAAGCAGGGGAGGGACGGGACAGCATGAATAGCGGGACCGCAGGAGCTGTTGCGCATAGTCATGGAGGGTTGGGATAATTACGCTTGAGCGCGCAGGCCCCATTGTTAGGAAGGGTAAGGGAGTAATTAGGATGTACGCCGCCAACGCAGCTCACTGATTAGCATATCAACAGCGCCCGGGAACCGCCGTGCGCGGGCTCGAGGTGCACGAGCCCATTGTTCAGCGCAGCATCCCCTTTGAGGTAGGGAGGATAAATAGAGGAGCGCAGAGGGGAAATCGCTCTCTTACTCCAGCGCCAAGCGACCAGACGCAGCTCCAGCCAGCGACCCGGACGTCCGTGTGACGCACCGAGGCACGCGGTTAGCACAAGGATCAGCGGACCGCCGTGGACACTTAACAGTGAGTAAGAAGGTGAATTAGAATCATAGCAGATAAATCGGGAATAGGTATAGAGGTATCAGCGTAGGCCAGCCTCGTCGACTCACTGATTTAACATCTAGTTCCAGGTAGCGGATAATAAATCATTAATAGCTGATCGTGGCCTTGTGTGATCTCGTGTTATAAGTGTGAACGCGTGTGGTACGGTGTATGCGTAAGCTCTCGGCGTGCGTAATCGGCGTACCCCAGGTGCGCGATCATAACGTGAGCGGCCAGCGCGGCGCAGAGCGGCGCAAGAGTGGGTATCGCGTGTGGAGCTGTATGTGTGTGCGCGCACGTTCACGACGTGTATAATACAGGTGCGCGATCCTAACGCGAGTGGTCAGTGTTGAGTGAGTGCCGCGCAGAGCTGTGTGTGGGAGTGCGCATACGTTCGTTACGTGTCGGATACGGATGCGCATTGGTAACGTGCCGCACAGGGCTATACTGCGAGCACGGCGTTTGATTGACGATGATGTGCGCACGTATGCTCGCAGCGTGGGAGCGCGGCGTGAGGCTGTAACAGTAGGGGTGTCGCGGTCGAATGCCGGCGAAACCGTAGCGGGTAATAGGGAGGTGGGGTAACGTAAACGGATTAGGGGATGCAGGCGGGAGGGACCCCGGGGGCCAACGGCCCCCACACATGGACCAATGCCCCACCAGTAGCCACACGAGGAAGTTGAATTGCAAAGGTCCATATTTGTACGTGTGTAGCCCGGTGGTGCATTTGACCACAGTCGAAATTCTGACCAGCCACACGCTCACACTGGTATCAAAACCACCGTTACTTTAAAACACAGCACTTACATTACCACAACACCCCCTTCCTGTACCACAAAGCCCTCCCCCCACCCCATCCCACAAGTTCTACCACACAGCTCTTACCACACCACACAGCGCTACCACACAGCTCTACCACACCACACAGCACTACCACACCACACAGCACCACACAGCGCTACCACACCACACGGCTCTACCACACCACACAGCACCACACAGCTCTCCCACCCCACAGCTCTACCACAGAACGTCACCCCCCCCCCCCCCCCCCATATCACAACCCACTGACCTTCCTTAAAACAGTGCTTCCACACCAGTCCTTCCCCATTACACCACCACCGCTCTCACACCACAAGCCCTACCCCTCTCCTACGGCACCACACGCCGCTTCTCACGCGAGGGCTGTCAGAGACGTGCAGCTGTGCGAGCCGGTCGTGACCGCCCCAAGCCCACGCGTCCCACCTCGCAATGTCTACCTCCGTCTCTTTAACCCCGTCTCCTTGAACGCCTCGTCTTCCTGTACCCCCCGTCTCCTTGTACCCCGTCTCTCTGTCACCCACATCTCATTGTACTGCTGTCTCCCCGTCGCCCCGTGTGTCTGCGCCACCTGTATCCTTGTACCCCGTCTCCCTGTCACCCACATCTCATTGCACTGCTGTCTCTCCGTAGCCCCGTGTATCTGCACCGCCTGTATCCTTGTACCCCGTCTCCCTGTCACCCACATCTCATTGTACTGCTGTCTCTCCGTAGCCCCGTGTGTCTGCACCGCCTGTATCCTTGTACCCCTTGCTGGAGCCCTGTGACCCCGCACGCATCTGTACCTCACCGTGTCTCCCCGTGTCGCTTGTAGCAGCACCCCACGTCTGCGAAAACGAGCCTAGAGCTCGCCGCATTCCTCCAGGTCAAGTAAATGACTTTTTATTTTACTTTTATTAATTTAAATGTGCTTTTTTACCTACGTGACTTTACCGAAAAATCATTGCAGTCGCGAAAAGCTTCAAATCTAGAAAGGAATATATGACCCCGCTTCTGAATCGGTTAAGGGATGCCCAGACAACTCAACTGCGCGCACAAGGCCCGGGGCAACGCTCCGCACGTAGCCCGATGTGGAAGTCCGCGGCGAGGGTTTCGGGATAACACAGTAGGGGGTAGGGGGGTGGGGGGGTAACGCCAGCGACACAGCAGAACGAGTGTTAACCTGCGGGTAACGGAGACGGGACGGCGAGCGTTGCCGAGGCTAATATAACGGTCGGCGCGACAGCGTTGCACGGGGTGGTGGGAGAGAGAGAGGGAGGGAGGCAGTGTGTGTGTGTCAACAGTGTACGAGGCGATAGTGCGAGAGGTAATAAACTCACACAGAAGCGGCGGCGGCGGCGGCTTTGACGATAACGGAGCCGCCACGCGCGTGAAGGGTGGGTACAGTCGCCAACCACCGCAGTGAACGCACGCACGCTTCCGGACTGTACCCGCCCGCTCCTGATTGGTCGGCAACGACGACCCGTGGAGGCCCCCCCCCCTCCTCTCTCTCCCACCTTCTTCACGCGGCTCGCGAGCCAATCGGTGTGGCGAGATCTTCCACCGTCGCCCCGCCCACTACGTCGCCACGCCCACCTCATCGCCACGCCCACCCGGTCGCCCCGCCCACCCCGTCGCCCCGCCCACCCCGTTGCCCCGCCCACCCCGGAGCCCCGCCCCCCTGTTTTGTTTGAAAGGCGCGATGACGTCATCCGCCGATTACAAAACGCCGCGGGAGGACGTCACGCGATTTCCGCGTCCCACTACCCCTCGGGGCGCGTGACGTCAGGGAAATGAATAATGAAAGCGTCGCCTGTGTGACGTCGCCCTCGTGAGGATGTACGCGTGACGTCACCGTCGGGGAAGGCCGTCACGCCCTCCCACAAACCCCCGGTCACGCCCCCCCGCGCGTGACTCGTCCGCGTGTGAGTCACGGTCACGTGATATCCACGTGATCACCCCCTCCCCCCACCGCCTCTCTCATCGTGTTTCCCCCCCTCCTGCCTCCCCTACTGCTATGAAGAACGAGAGGCAACCTGGGACAAGCACTTTGAACACTCGTGTCCAATCACTCTGTGGCCTTAAGGCAGAGGTCGCAAACGGGGTTTGATTCCTTACCCGTACCCGGCCGCACCAGGGTCGCAAACGGGTACCCGTACCCGGCCGTACCCTACCCGTACCCGGCCGGGTACGGGTAGGGTACGGGTATCGGGTACCTGATTGCGACCTCTGGGATGAAGCCATGTTGCAGACGCGGGTGGGTTGATTCTAGGAACTTGAATTGTGAGAAGAGACAAGACGTTGGGAAATGAGTGACAAACAGTTACTCACCAGTGACTCACGGCCTACCCGTACCCGGCCGCACCAGGGTATCGGGTAGGGTGCGGGTATCGGGTACCCGGTTGCGACCTCTGCCTACTGCTAAGAAGAACGAGCGGCAACCTGGGACAAACACTTTGAACACTCGTGTCCAATCACTCTGTGGGCTTAAGGCAAGGCCGTAGCTATGGAGTCAACATGGGGGGGGGGGGGGCAAATCTTTCAGGGGGTCTAGGGGTCCCCTTCCCCCCCCCCAGAAAAAATATCTAAATTTGAAAACTAATTTCCTGCCTAAAATATTACAAAATTCAGTAACGCATGGGATAGATTTTTTTTTATAATAATGTCTAATAGTGTATTGTATTACATTGCTCTGTTTTTACTTTTTTTTTATCATTTCTTGTTTCATTGTATGTAATGGCAGAGATTAGGGATTAATAAAGTACAACCATAACCACGATCTTATAAACAGAAATCTATGCATTGTTATATGAAGACAAGTCCAGATATTGTGGCCAAGGTTTAGCAAATTGTTGTTTTTATTTACATAGCATAGCAATGATTATTTTAAATATTTTTGATAGCAATATATTGGGGGGGACATTTTGAGCATATTTGAATATTGGAAAAGTACGTAAGAGGTGACGCCGGGGCAATTTAATACTCAAACAACCTATAATTGAATTTCGATTTAAAGCTTTCGTGACTGCAGGGATTCATCTTCTTATTCTTAGGTTTTTTCGGTAAAGTCACGTAGGTAAAACATTAAAATTAATAAAAAATAAAAGAAAAAATCACGACGTTTCGGAGGCAACACAAGCTTCCGTCTTCAGGTGGAACCGTCACAGCACGATAGCTGTATCAAGTAAATGAGAGATTACAGGAGATACCACTCCGTATATATAATGGTTGAGGAGTGGTATCTCTTGTAATCTCTCATTTACTTGATACAGCTGTCGGGCTGTGACGGTTCCACCTGAAGACGGAAGCTTGTGTTGCCTCCGAAACGTCGTGATTTTTTTATTTTATTTTACTTTTATTAATTTTAATTTTTTACCTACGTGACTTTACCGAAAAAACCTAAGAATATGAATCCTTGCAGTCACGAAAGCTTCAAATCTAGAATTCATCTTCTTGGTTCTTTCGGTAAAGTCACGTAGTCTACGTAGTCTACGTGACTTTACCCGAAAGAACCAAGAAGATGACCCTTTAATTGAGTCACTCCGTAATAGAGGTTTTTATTATTACACGTTTTTATTTAACTCACTGTCTGTTCTTCTTCTGTCTGTTGTCGTATCCTCAAATCTTGTAACTCAATTTTAACCCACTTCCCAATGTCGTATCGACTGCAAACTTGGCATACGTATGTCATACTGATGACAAGACTATATTCTATCATAAAAATCAAAAACATTTTAAAACATTCTTTTACACGCTTTTGATAAACTCACTCTGTTGTTGTATCCTCAAATCTTGTAACTCAATTTTAACCCACTTCCCAATGTCGTATCGACTGCAAACTTGGTATACTTATGCCATGCTGATGACAATACTATATTCTATCATTAAAAACAAATAATTTAAACATGATTTTGTATATGTTATGTTTCGGCTTGGGTCTAATTGTCCACGTTCCCTTACGTTATGGCAAACTTCGGGGCCACTTCCTGGAGTCGTGGAGTTCTGCCATTATTACTAGTAGGGTACATTTCATTAAAGCGTGTTTTTTTTAAAAGTATTTTTAAAATATAATTTGGGTTAGATGGCGTAAATAGATTTACCGACTGCTGGAGTGTGAGATATCAACAGACTGTGGAGCTGGGAAAGTGGAGCAAAAGTGTGGGAATTGACCCGTGGTGGGTGGTTCGCAAGGCGGACGCCTACTTGTGTTTGTGAGATATTCACTTTCTTGACACCAGGCACGACAGTTCTACATACATTTGTTTGTGTGTGTGTTGGTGCTTCTTACCATCGGGGGCTGTCTTATAATCCGAACAATACACTACGGCCCTTCTGTATATCTGTAAAAATTATATATATGAAGAGCTTTACAGCTAATCGGATTCGTCCACGATAAGGAAGCGATTCTTATTTTTTGTAAAGCGTTGGAGGCTTTCGTGACCAAATTCATCCACAATCGAGGTTTTTTTTTTGTTGGGTTAGATCGCGTAAAAATATCAATGTGTGTCGTTAAACCCGCCACCACTCGACACAGCCAATGAGTAAGGGGTTTGTCACGTAAACAGAAACATGCCATATTCTTAGGTTTTTTCGGTAAAGTCACGTAGGTAAAACATCAAAATTAATGAAAATAAAATAAAACAAAAATCACGACGTTTCGGAGGCAACACAAGTCTCCGTCATCAGGTGGGACCGTCACATTAGCTGCATCAAGTGAGGCAATGATTCAAGGCAATGATTCAATCATTGCCTCACTTGATGCAGCTAATTCGGCTGTGACGGTCCCACCTGATGACGGAGACTTGTGTGGCCTCCGAAACGTCGTGATTTTTGTTTTATTTTATTTTCATTAATTTTGATGTTTTACCTACGTGACTTTACCGAAAAACCTAAGAATATGAATCCTTGCAGTCACGAAAGCTTCAAATCTAGAAACATGCCAATTCGTTACTAGTACAGCACACCGGTGTGTTGGAGGGCAAAGCCACAACAATCTTGATTTGAAGCTTTCGTGACTGCAGGAATCCATACCATTTGGTTCTTTCGGTAAAATCACGTAGTTAGAAATAAAATCTAATATTTTAATGAAATTATTTTATGTTTTTATATAAAATATTTGTATATTTTAAAAAAATGTAATATTTTATTTTAAAATATTTTATTTTATTTCTAACTACGCGACTTTACCGAAAGAACCACAGAGTAAAGCCACAAACATCTACAAATACACAAATCTGGCTGTTTTACGGATGAGGTGTGGATATTTTTGACGATTTTAAAATCGCGATTTTTGTTTTACTCATCGCCCACCCCCCCCGCTCCACCCCGCGGGCCCCCGTAGAGGAGGAGGAGGAGCTACGGTCAGGAAGTGACGTCACACCCCCAGATTGAGCAACACAGCAGCTCGTGTTACAGAAGTCGGCAGCGGTTTCTCATCATCATCATCCTCATCATCATCCTCGTCGTCGTCAAGCTCAGCACGAACAACGCCTCATCATCGTGAAGCTCAGCACTACTCATCAGCCACCTCGCCATCATCGTCGTCTCCTTCAACACCACTCGTCGATAACTGCAGTGGTCATCATCAGCCCCCAACCCCCCCGCCTCGCCTCGATCCCCTCGTCGCGAACCTCGCGGATTAGAACCTCGCCACCCTCCACCTCATCATTCATCTCCCCCACTCATCATCTCCCCCACCCTCCTCCTCCTCCTCATCCCCTCGTCTGGTGGGCATCACCTCATTATCCGCTGGGTCGTCTCACCACCATCACTACCTCACCACCATCACTACCTCACCACCACCACCTCACCACCACCACCTCACCACCACCACTACCTCACCACCTCACCACCACCACCACACCACCACCACTACCTCACCACCTCACCACCACCACCACTACCTCACCACCACCACTACCTCACCACCTCACCACCACCACTACCACTACCTCACCACCACCACCTCACCACCCACTGTGTCGCCTGACCACCACCAACTCCCACCACCACCACCACACTACCTCACCACCTACACACCCACTACCTCACCACACCCTACCACCACCTCACACCACACTACCACTACCTCACCACCACCACCTCACCACCCACTGTGTCGCCTGACCACCACCAAAACCACCACCTCACCTCACCACCACCACCTCACCACCAACACCATCACCTTCTGTGTCGCCTGACCACCAACACCACCTCCCCTCACCACCACCACCAACACCACCACCTCACCTCACCACCAACACCATCACCCTCTGTGTCGCCTGACCACCAACACCACCACCACCACCATGAACGTCCTCGCGAAGTTGTTCGGCTCGTCGCAGGGCTCGTCCTCTGGCCCCACGGCGCAGGAGGCGATCCACAAGTTGCGCGAGACGGAGGAGATGCTCGTGAAGAAGCAGGAGTTCCTCGAGGGAAAGGTGGACGCCGAGGTGGCGCTCGCCCGGAGACACGGCACCGCCAACAAGCGCGGTGCGTACCACTGGACGATGGTCGATTTTGTTGGGTTCATCTTCTTGGTTCTTTCGGGAAATTCTGGACTTGAAGCTTTCGTGACTGCAAGGAATCATATTCGTAGGTGTTTTCGGTAAAGTCACGTAGGTAAAACATCAAAATTAATAAAATAATGAAATAAAAATAAAGATCACGACGTTTCGGAGGCAACACACTGTCCCACCTGATGACGGAGACTTGTGTTGCCTCCGAAACGTCGTGATTTATTATTTTTATTTTATTATTTTATTAATTTTGATGTTTTACCTACGTGACTTTACCGAAAACACCTAAGAATATCCTTCGGGAAAGTCACGTAGAAGGGAAGTAATAAAATAATAAAAATTTATAAAACAATAAGAAATATTCACGACGTTTCGACTGTGTGTAACTCAAGCAATCGTCATCAGGTGTGAAATCCACAGCAAGAAAATCAAGATGTTTGGTTTGTTTGACCGTATTTACAGGTTGCTTAAAACAATGTTTAAAAAAAGAGAATGATTTGTGTCTTCTTGGTTCTTTCGGTAAAGTCACGTAGAAGGGAAATAATTAAATAATGAAAATAAAACATAATAAATACAATTCTCACGACGTTTCGGCCACAACGCAAGCAGCCGTCGTGAGAATTGAATTGTATTTTATTTTTATTACTTCCCTTCTACGTGACTTTACCGAAAGAACCAAGAAGATGAATCCCTGCAGTCACGAAAGCTTTAAATCGAAATGATTTGTGTGTTTCGATTTAAAGCTTTCGCGACTGCAGGGATTAATATTCTTGGTTCTATCGTTAAAGTCACGTAGTGAAGGGAAATAATGAAATAATAAAAGCGTCGTGAGAATTTGATTGTTTTATTTTTATTCTTTTATTATTTCCCTTCTACGTGACTTTACCGAAAGAACCAAGAATATGATGTGTGTGTGTGTGTTCACACTGAGAATTCGCAACAATGCCACGAGGAATGTGCCCCCCCCCCCTGGGGCCTATGGAGACCACCTGGACAAGATCCCAGGCACGCACTGACATTGATGGTGAACACGTGGGAGGGCACTTGGGCCAGTACACGCTTTGATATTTAACTCACTCTGTCTGTCGTTGTGGTATCCTCAAATCTTGGAACTCAATTTTAACCCACTTCCCAATGTGGTATGGACTGCAAACTTGGTATACTTATGTCATACTAATGACAATACTATATTCTATCATAAAAAAATCAAAAACATATTTTAAAACATCCTTTTACACGCTTTTGATAAACTCTGTAGTATCTTCCAATCTTGTAACTCAATTTTAACCCACTTCCCAATGTGGTATGGACTGCAAACTTGGTATACTTATGTCATACTGATGACAATACTATATTCTATCATAAAAAAATCTAAAACATTTTTAAAAATTCTTTTACACGCTTTTGATAAACTCACTCTGTCGTTGTTATATCCTCAAATCTTGTAACTCAATTTTAACCCACTTCCCAATGTGGTATCGACTGCACACCTGGTATACTTGTGTCATACCGATGACAATACTATATTCTATCATAAAAATATAAATATTTTTAAACATTATTTTTTTAATGTTATGTTTCGGCTTGGGTCTAATTGTCCACGGCCAACTGACGTTGGCTGTAAATCACCACGGTCCCTGACGTTATGGCAAGCTTCGGGACCACTTCCTGGAGTCGTGGAGTTCTGCCACTACGAGTACATTTCATAAGAGCGTGTTTTTAAGAGTTTAAAAAATATTACTCATTTTGACCGCATTTTCAGGGTGCTTCAAAAATATATATATTTAAAGAATGTGCGTGTTAACACTTGTGAGAATTCTCAACAATGTCACGAGAAATATGCCCCCCTGGGGCCTCTGGAGACCACACGCGTTGACATTGATGGCGAACACGGGGGGACACTTCGACTGTTTGAAGCTATGAACGTGACATTTGTTGTCATGTTACAGTGCAGTATTATCCGTTCTTTTTCTATTAAAAGCAATAGTCCCATATATATGTTAACATTTTTAAGCACCCTGTATACTACACTGCTATATACTACACTATACACTACTATACACTACTATACACTATACACTACTATACACTATACACTACTATACACTACTATATACTACACTACTATACACTACTATACACTATACACTACTATACACTACACTACTATACACTACTATACACTACACTACTATACACTACTATACACTACACTACTATACACTACTATACACTATACACTACTATACACTATACACTACTATACACTACTATACACGACACTACTGTACACTACACTACTGTACACTACACTACTATACACTACACTACTATACACTACACTACTGTACACTATACACTACTATACACTACACTACTATACACGACACTACTATACACTACTATACACTACACTACTATATACTACACCACTATACACTACACTACTATACACTATACACTACTATACACTCCACTATACACTACTATACACTACACTACTATACACTATACACTACACTACTATACACTACACTACTATACACTACACTACTATACACTATACACTACACTACTATACACTACACTACTATACACTATACACTACACTACTATACACTACACTACTATACACTACACTACTATATACTACACCACTATACACTACACTACTATACACTATACACTACTATACACTCCACTATACACTACTATACACTACACTACTATACACTATACACTACTACTATACACTACACTACTATACACTACACTACTATACACTATACACTACACTACTATACACTACACTACTATACACTATACACTACACTACTATACACTACACTACTATACACTACACTACTATATACTACACCACTATACACTACACTACTATACACTATACACTACTATACACTACACTACTATACACTACACTACTATACACTATACACTACTATACACTACACCACTATACACTACACTACTATACACTACACTACTATATACTACACTACTATACACTACACTACTATACACTATACACTACACTACTATACACTACACTATTATAAACTACACTATTATAAACTACACTATACACTACATCACTATACACTACACTATACACTGCACTACTATACACTACACTACTATACACTACACTACTATACACTACTATACACTACACTATACACTACACTACTACATACTACACTATACACTACACTACTATACACTACACTATTGTAAACTTCACTATACACTACACTATACACTACACTACACACTACACTACTACACACAGACTACTACATACTACACTACATACTATACTATACAGGGTGCTTCAAAAAAATGTTCGCACTTCTGAGAATTTGCAACAACGCCACGAGAAATGTGCTTCGGGGCTCTGCAGACCACCTGGAGAAAATCCCAGGCACGCGTTGACAATGGTGGCGAGCAAGGGGAGACTTTTTGAAGCTATTAACATGACATTTGTTATCATGTTACAGTGCATTACACGTTCTTTTTACATGAAAAACGATAGTCCCATGTAAGTGACATTTTTTTAAAAGCACCCTGCATTTGACTTTGCCAGGTGAAGCTGCCCCTACCCCGCTGAGCTTTGCGTGTTCGCGATTTTTATTCCAGAAGCGACCTGGCCATCACGAATGGTGGTAATAGGTCGGCGAAAGTGGCTTCTCGTGGTCATAGCGTGGACTTTTATTTTTATAGCGGCAGCCAAATGCTCGAAACGTATGATGATGTTGATTTCTAAACGTGGAGGGGAAAAACCGGAGGGCCCGAAAACAAATCCACGCGACCACGGGGAGAGAGAGAGATGCAAACTCGTTAGGGTCGGGGTAGAACCCACGACCTCCTGTACACCAGGCGAGGTAGTTAACGTCTCCTAGCCACCGTGATGATGATGAGAGAGAGAGAGAGAGACGCAAACTCCAAATATACAGCAGCAGGCGTCAGGGTCGGGGTAGAACCCACAACCTCCTGTACACCAGGCGAGGTAGTTAACGTCTCCTAGCCACCGTGATGATGATGAGAGAGAGACACGCAAACTCCAAATATACAGCAGCAACAGCAGGCGTCAGGGTCGGGGTAGAACCCACGACCTCCTGTACACCAGGCGAGGTAGTTAACGTCCCCTCGCCACCGTGATGATGAGAGAGAGAGAGACGCAAACTCCAAATATACAGCAGCAGGCGTCAGGGTCGGGAACGAACCCACGACCTCCTGCATACCAGGCGAGGTAGTTAACATCTCACCACCACGACGCCCCTCCCTCTCCTCTCTCAATGCCACACGCGCTCACGGCGACGAGCATCTCCTAGCACGGACGCCCCGCTCGACCCGAGCCATATAGTTAGTTGCTCTGATTACTTGTGTCGCCGCTGTTACCTTTCGCCTTGTGGCGTTGTGCTCTCTGCTCTGAACACCGGCGGTGAGACGAGGCCAGAAAAGAGGCCGTCTCTGGTGCAGGCCAATCAGTTTCAAAGATAACGCGTGCGTTAGTATCAGAGCGTGCTTGTTTGCACGTGTTTGCGGACCTGATGCCCCTTTGGTGTTTGAACGTCTTAACGCCTCCGGTTTTATTGCCAGAAAGGCTACAAACACATTTTTACTTTTCATCATTTTCGATACTGGCTAAAAAAAAATGTCCCCGTAGATACTGAGACACCCTGAACGTACCATGCTCCAAACCCCGAGCAGAGTAGATTTGAAGTTTTCGTGACTGCAGGGATCCATACTCTTTGGTAACCTCATTTGCCAGTAAAAATATGATAATTGGTTTTTTACCCTTCTATCTGGCAACAAAACTGACACCTTTTTACAAGGAGTCATGTTTGCATAGACCGCAATACCTGCAGTCATAATACAAACAAAAGACAACTCTGATAATGTGCACTGTCCTCAAGGACAGGTATTGCGGTCTATGCAAACATGACTCCTTGTAAAAAGGTGTCAGTTTTGTTGCCAGATAGAAGGGTAAAAAACCAATTATCAGGGATCCATACTCTTTGGTTCTTTCGGTAAAGTCACTACGTCGGTGACTTTACCTACATGACTTTACCGAAAGAACCAAAGAGTATGGACCCTAGCAAAGTGTTCGTCACTCATTTTCAGGGGGGGGGCGGGGCGGCACTTTGGCCGATAAGACATCATCAGTGTGTGCGGCTGCCCGCCACACTTCATTTGAAACCATTGGGGGGTTGACAGCGGCACGACGACGACGATGATGATAGCTAGCGCGGTATTTTTACTGTCTGTGTTGTCGGTGGCGGGGGGGGGGGGGCACACTAAAGGCTACCAGGACCCCCTCCCCCAGTGACCGGCAGGGCCTTCGAACACTGCGGCGTCGAGCACTTAACCCCCCCAGCGGTTCTCAACATGTCTGGGCTGTTGTGCCGCTCCCCCCCCCTCTCCACCCCACTCCAGCCCCAATCGAGACTGTCGTCCCACCCGCCCCTCTGCAGATCGCAGAGCCACAGCGCACGGGTGTCGATGACCACACCCCGGGTCAACGCGGTGCGAGGCATTTGTTTGATATCGCGTACTCGTAGAGTGTTTGACGTTGTGTATTAGGGTTTTAATTTTCGATTTAAACCTTTCGTGACTGCAGGGATTCATCTTCTTGGTTCTTTCGGTAAAGTCACGTAGAATGGAATTAATGAAATATTATATTATTATTTTATGATGTTTTATTTTTATTATTTTATTATTAGGGTTTTGTGGCGATTCCGCTCTCCCCCCCAACCCCCCCCCACCCCCACCGAGCATTTACCAACTTTCCAAGATTCGCTCTGACCTCTATCTCCCAACAGACGCGCGCGAAATCTCGGTCAAATCACTTCCCCGAACACTGTCCTCCGCTGTAGCTCCCAGCGTGCGTCATCGCCAACGCAAACAGCAACCCGACCACCAACAACCAGTCCCCAGCACCACAACCTCTGACCTCTCGTTAAATAATGAATGTATTTGTCCGTGTTTGGCACGCGGTGCGACGCTTGCTCGTACAAGTCGGCGTACTTGTAAATGTGTTGCGTCCGAGTGGTGAGAGGTTTTTTAAGTTTGAGGTTCTTGTCGAACGAGCGTTGGCCTCGTGAAAGAGCGGCCGCGGGGGGGATCGCCGAAACGCGGAGCAATCGCAAGCCAAGGCAAAAGCGCGCCGCCGAAAATTTACATCGAAAATACTGCACAGGCGTGAATGGCCATTCAGGCAAATTCCCGTAACGGAAATATTCTAAAAAAGTTATTTGGACAAAGGTACACGCGAATGTAGGATCGTGATCTCACCGGAATGTAAACGGACGAGGCTACGTGCCGAGTACACCAAGAATGTCCTTCCGTCTCGAAAGGGGGGGGGAGGGCGGTGGGGGGGGATGCAGGTGAAATGTTTTGCATGATCTTCTTGGTTCTTTCGGTAAAGTCACGTAGAATGGAAATAATAAACTAATAAAAATAAAACATAATAAAATAATTCTCACGATGTTTCGGCCACAACGCAAGTAGCCGTCCTCAGGTGAAGAACAGGTCTGTCGGAAAGACAGCGTCCGAATGAAACACCACCAGGCTTGGCAGCGTATATTTAAGCTGGGTTGGAGGGGGAAGAGCGCCTTGACAAAGGAATTTGCATATCAAGAGTAAAGTTAAAGCGAGCCGCTGACCCCCGAACATCCCGGTGAGTCGTCGGTGTTCATCGTCGTACTCAAAATGTAACACGTGTGAGGCTTTCGCGACCAACGCTATCCACAATAGAGGTTCGTGGGTGAGATCGCCTAAATATAAAGGGTGGCGTGAAAACCCGCCGCCACCACCACCCGACACAGCCAAAATAGTAAGGTTTTGTCACGGGAACTGAGCGTGACGAATTCGTTACTGGTGTGGTGGAGAGTAAACCCACTGCAACATTTACAATCTGAGTACCGTGCCGTTTGGCCGGTAATTGCAACAACCAGCCTCATCAAGCGAAACGGCACGGTACTCGAAGTGTAAATGTTGCAGTGGGTTTACTCTCCAACACACCGGTGTGCTGATGTAGTCACGAATTTCCATGTTCTGTTTACGTGACAAACCTTACTAATTGACTGTTCCGGGTGGTGGCGGCGGGTTTTAACGACGCGTTTATATTCACGCGATCTCATACAAACCCCCACCCCCCCCCCTCTATTGTGGTGTCTATCTCGCTGAAGCACAACCACCACGAGTTCTAGGTTCCTGTGGAATTGCGACATCGTACTTCCCCCTCCGAGCTTGCCCGCTTGTTTGCCCGGCGAAACAGGGTCCCCCGCCCCCCCCAGCGCCACCTTTGAATGCTTTAGGAAATTTCCACAATTTCAAATCGTGTTTGCTTGCAAAGCCCTCGCTGGACAATGGGCCTCCCCCCTCAACCTGCCCTGCCAACACTGCCGCAGACCCCAACGCAAACACCGCCGCCACCTGCGCCGAAGCCAATGGATGCTAACGCCAATAGAAACACGAGCACCGGCAACAAAGACCGACACCACATTCTACCGGTGGCAACAAAAACCTAATGCCGACACACCGGCACCAAGCACAAACCGAGGACGAATAATACTTCGCCGTACCCCCTGCGTTGTGTACCACCTGCGTTGTGTACCCCCTGCGGTGCGTACCCGCTGCGTTGTGTACCCCCTGCGTTGTGTACCCCCGCCATCCTCGTGTGATCACCGCCGGGGCGATGCAGGCGTTGTTTATGCCGCCGCGAGGAGTGAGTCACGCGCGGAGCCACTGGCTGCGACATCTTGGCTGCCACGGAATTATAATTTTACTTTGCCAACAGCCTTGCCCGGCTTATTGTAGGCTCCAGCTAGCCGGGGTCCGGCTAGCCGGGGTTTTGTTGCGCTGCAATCCACGGGCGTTAGCAGCCACGCACGGCTACAGGGTTAGACTGGCGGTTTTCAACCCATGGGGTTTACAGGCCGGGGTGGGCGGGTGCTGACGGCGGCATGGATACCGTGCGGGAGACATTTCCAATGATAGCGCCATGCTGTTTGGTGACAAAACACCTCCGACACGGCGTGTAATACATGCCTGATTCACACCGCATTGACGCCTGCTGTGGACGTGGGACCTCTCTGGTTATGCCTTCATAACCTGGGGCGGGGGGGGCGCGGGTCTTAATTCTGGGTTGATAATTGTTTTTTTACCCGTTTATCTGGCAACAAAACTGACATCTTTTTTACAAGGAGTCATGTTTGCATAAACCCACAATACCTGCAGTCATAATGCAAACATAACCACTGTGTTAGCTGAACATTAAGACTCTGACCGCTCCTCCTCACCGTGCCCCCTCTGCCCCCCCCCACCACCACCGCCCCGGTTTAGCCGCCCTGTCGGCGCTGAAGCGCAAGAAGCGCTACGAGAAGCAGCTGGCGCAGATCGACGGCACGCTGTCCACCATCGAGTTCCAGCGCGAGGCGCTCGAGAACGCCAACACCAACACCGAGGTGCTCAAGACGATGGGCTTCGCCGCCAAGGCCATGAAGAAGGCGCACCAGGACATGTGAGACCGCACGATCCACACCGCCCACACCGCCTGTCTTGCAGCCAGCGTCACGCACAAAGCGCACTGCTGTGTCGCATGCATTCGCAGTGTCACACTTGTATATGTGTAGAGAAGTTCCGACGGACGTACTCGTAGACGGAGGTAAGTTATGGGCTTCCGCCAGGGTTTATTAAAGCTGTTGCAATATTACACAGCAGGGTGCACAACTCCCAGGGGCTAGGGGTCCTACTCTGAGTCCGGGTCCCTGCCGGCTAGCTCCGCTCTCTCTCTCTCGTGTCGGATCGGGGACTCTGCCGACTCCACCGAGCGGAGAGAGAAGCACCTCTACGGCTACCACCGGCTTCTCCCCAGACTCACTCTTCTGCCGACTCCACCGACCGGAGAGAGAAGCACCTCTACGGCTACCACTGGCTTCTCCCCAGACTCACCACTCGATCCCTCTCTCTACCCCTGGTTCCCTCTTCACCCTGCTTACTCTACCCGTTGCCACAGTGACCCCGCTCACGTCACGGGGTCTCCCTTAAGTACCCTAGGAGACGTGACGTCATCGCACTGAACGGCACACCTGACGTCACGTCCCCATTTTACTCTACATATGTATGCGTGTTGAACTCGTTTCATACGTAGCCGAGTGCGCGAATCGGAGGTGCGAGGGAAGGACAAAAAAGCCGAACGCAAAAAGCGGTTCTAAAGGAATTCGTTTGTATTCTGGATGAATTAAAAGTGCCCATAGCTCCCCCTAATATCGGAAGAGCGTTCCAGACGGCCGCAGAAGCGCAGCTGAAAGCGTGCGATGTGGTGACCGTCTTTGTTCGATGGTTCGACCTAAGCCGCTGCGGACTTCGCGTGATGGTTTCTTGCTTCTTGATGAGATCATCAAGTTCTTGCGGTTCATTTGTGGCAAACATTGCCGGTGTAACTGCCAGCGTCAAACGCTCGCCTTCAGTGGCGGTCGCCTAACCACGTGGGTTTTCGCAGACACGCAGAACGCGCGCGTTTATTTCTCTTTAGTTTAAATATTTCGGCTGGATATAAAAATCCCTCGCGATGGAAAGTATTGTTTGCAAAGGGCGTGAGTGTGCGCATGTGTGTGTGTGTGCGTGCGTGTGTGTGCGCGCGCGTGCATGTGTACGTGCGCGTGTGTGTGCGCGTGCGTGCGTGCGTGTGTGTGTGTGCGCGTGTGTGTGGGTGCGTGCGTGTGTGTGCGTGTGTGTGCGCATGTGTGTGTGGGTGCACGTGTGTGCGTGCGTGCATGCGTGTGCGCATGTGTGTAAGTACGTGCATGTTTATGTGTGCGTGTGTGTGCGTGCATGCGTGTGCGTGTATGCGTGTGCTACCCCTGGGTTGGGTCACTCTTCATTGAGTGTCTCTCCTCTGCATCTTGAGCAGTGACGGTGCAGCAGCAGTATCAGCAGCAGTATCAGCAGCAGTATCAGCAGCAGGGGCGCGTGCCAACGTAGTGGTCCCTTGCCATTCAGCGTTGGTACAAATTGACAGAACTCGGCACGTTCGTCAATAACACTGCGGCCTGGGAAACGGCCCTTCTTCACGGCACGTAATATCACTCAAGAGGTCCATTGCCCGAAACGTCGGCGATTGTAGATTTTACCTGTTAAGGCCGCAGAGTTTTACTGACGTACGTGTCAAGTCGTCGCCGCTACCAACGTAGCCGCAGCATCACCAACACAATTTGTTTCACCATTGGAACCTCCTGGTTCTAATGGTGCGACTTTTGGCGTCATCTGGTCCAACACCATGTGAGACTAGGCTCTAAGAAAAGCTGTTTCGGGTGTGGACCAATCAACTTCAAGGACAGTGCATACATTATCAGAGTTGTGTTTTTTGTTTGCATTATGACTGCAGGTATTGTGGTCAATGCAAACATGACTCTTTGTAAAAAAAAAAGGTGTCAGTTTTTTTGCCATAAAAAATGGAAAAAAACCAATTATCATAATTTGTTTCATCGAGAAAATGGTGCCTGGATCGGTGTCACGCATGGCACAATCGCCGCGGTTTACCCGCCCCCGTGTTGTTGTGAGCTTGTGACGCCAACGCCGCCGCCGCCGCCTTTTCTCCCGTCTCTGGGCAGGGACATCGATAAGGTGGATGACCTCATGGCCGACATCACGGACCAGCAGGACCTGGCGCAGGAAATCTCCGACGCCATCTCCAAACCCATGGGCATGAGCGATGACTACGACGAGGTGTGACCCCCCCCCCCCCCGACCCGTCCCTTGCCCCCTCGTCGCAGCTTGGATCTCTCCGTGAATTCCTACGTTAGTCGCCTGCGTTGTTCACTCTTCATACACGACGGAGGGGGTTTTGTTGGGTTTCGATCGCCTGAATATAAACGTGCGTGTCGTTAAACCGGACGCAGCCAAATTCGTGAGGTTTGTCACGTGCACAGAACGCACCGTCGCCTTGACGAGGCCGGCGCCTGATGATGCCGCTTGTAATTGCCGACGAAACGTCACGGCACTCGAATTGCAACGGTTGCGCGATTTTCTCTCCAACGCGCATCCGGTGTGCTGAACTCGTAACTAATCGGCGCGTTTTGTTCACGTGACAAACCTCGCTCGTTTAGCTGCGTCCGGTTGTGGCGGTGTTTGACGACGCACATTGAAGCCATCTAATTCAAATATCGGTCGCGAAATCCTACTCCGCGTTAAACTTAATTCTTCATCGTTAAGCCCCCCCCCCATTAGCTTTCCACCGTTAGCCGTTCGTCGTGGAGAGCCCTTCACCGTTATCCCCGCGTCGTTTCGTCTCCCCCGTGGCTAACCCCCCGGCGTGGTCGCGGCGCGTGCGCCAGGACGAGCTGATGGCCGAGCTGGAGGAGATGGAGCAGGAGGAGCTCGACAAGGAGCTGCTCACCGTGGGGGACGACGAGCTGCCCAGCGTGCCCAGCCAGTCGCTGCCCGGTGTGTACCGCACCGGCACAACCTCCAATCACCGCCTCGATCGCTGCCTCAGTCACCACCTCAATCACCACCTCGATCGCTGCCTCGATCGCTGCCTCGATCACCACCTCAATCACCAACTCAATCACCACCACCATGGCCACGCACGAGCGTGCTCGGCTAGCCGAACCCTCGTGTTTACCGTGCCGGCACAACCTCCAATACCACCTCAATCACCGCCTCAATCACCACCTCAATCACCACCTCAATCACCACCTCAATCACCGCCTCAACCACCGCCTCAATCACCGCCTCAACCACCACCTCAATCACCACCTCAATCACCGCCTCAACCACCGCCTCAATCACCACCTCAACCACCGCCTCAACCACCGCCTCAATCACCGCCTCAATCAGCACCTCAATCACCACCTCAATCACCACCTCAATCACCGCCTCAATCACCACCTCAGTCACCACCTCAATCACCGCCTCAATCACCGCCTCAACCACCGCCTCAATCACCGCCTCAACCACCGCATCAATCACCACCTCAACCACCACCTCAATCACCGCCTCAATCACCACCTCAACCACCGCCTCAATCACCACCTCAACCACCGCATCAATCACCACCTCAACCACCGCATCAATCACCACCTCAATCACCACCTCAACCACCACCTCAACCACCGCATCAATCACCACCTCAATCACCACCTCAACCACCGCCTCAATCACCGCCTCAACCACCGCCTCAATCACCGCCTCAATCACCACCTCAACCACCGCATCAATCACCACCTCAACCACCGCATCAATCACCACCTCAATCACCACCTCAACCACCACCTCAACCACCGCATCAATCACCACCTCAATCACCACCTCAACCACCGCCTCAATCACCGCCTCAATCACCACCTCAGTCACCACCTCAGTCACCGCCTCAATCACCGCCTCAACCACCGCCTCAATCACCGCCTCAACCACCGCATCAATCACCACCTCAACCACCACCTCAATCACCGCCTCAATCACCGCCTCAATCACCGCCTCAACCACCGCCTCAATCACCACCTCAATCACCACCTCAATCACCACCTCAATCACCACCTCAATCACCGCCTCAACCACCGCATCAATCACCACCTCAACCACCACCTCAATCAGCACCTCAATCACCACCTCAATCACCACCTCAATCACCGCCTCAATCACCACCTCAATCACCACCTCAATCACCACCTCAATCACCACCTCAATCACCGCCTCAATCACCGCCTCAACCACCGCCTCAATCACCACCTCAACCACCGCCTCAATCACCGCCTCAATCACCGCCTCAATCACCGCCTCAATCACCGCCTCAATCACCTCCTCAATCACCGCCTCAATCACCACCTCAACCACCACCTCAATCACCACCTCAATCACCGCCTCAATCACCACCTCAATCACCACCTCGATCACCACCTCGATCACCACCTCAATCACCGCCTCAATCACCGCCTCAATCACCGCCTCAATCACCGCCTCAATCACCCCTCAATCACCGCCTCAATCACCGCCTCAATCACCGCCTCAATCACCGCCTCAATCACCGCCTCAATCACCGCCTCAATCACCGCCTCAATCACCGCCTCAATCACCGCCTCAATCACCGCCTCAATCACCGCCTCAACCACCGCCTCAACCACCGCCTCAACCACCGCCTCAATCACCGCCTCAATCACCGCCTCAATCACCGCCTCAATCACCGCCTCAATCACCGCCTCAATCACCGCCTCAACCACCACCTCAATCACCACCTCAACCACCACCTCAACCACCACCTCAATCACCACCTCAACCACCACCTCAACCACCGCCTCAACCACCACCTCGGTCACCGCCTCAATCACCGCCTCAATCACCGCCTCAATCACCGCCTCAATCACCGCCTCAATCACCACCTCAATCACCACCTCAATCACCACCTCAACCACCACCTCAATCACCACCACCGCCGCGCACGCGCGGACGGCAACTCCCCGGTGTGCACCGCATCGGCACAACCTCCAAACGCACCCAGCCAGCCGCTGCCCGGCACGCGCCACACCGATAACCGCGCTGGCACCGCCGTGTAACCACACCGTCACCCTAACCACCAGCACCACACACCCGACGCATGTACACAAACACACAACAACCAACACCACACGAAATTGCGCGCACACACAAACCATTCATCATCGAGACACCAAGCGTACCTCCCGACTCCTGCCCATGCCACCCATACCCCTGCCCGTGCCCCCCCCTCCCACCGTAATCCTACCCCCCCTGACCCCACCCCCCCCTGACCCCCCACCTCCCGTGTCGTGCAGCTGCGGGGAAGAAGGTGGTGGTGGCGGAAGACGAAGATCTGAAGGAGCTGGAAAACTGGGCCTCCTAAAGCACACAGTCGCCCTTCATCGTGGGCGGTGGCGGTGGTGGTGGGCAGCGCACGATGGTGGTGGTGGTGGTGGGGGGGCTGTGGAGTTGGGTATGGGAGCTCACAAGGCCTTCCCTTGTCACCAGAACCCAGCGACCACACCCCGCAGTCTACGCGTGCTAAGAAGACACTGTAAAACCACAGTTAATGCATCTATATATGTGTGTGTGTGTCTGAGAGTTCATAGCCAGACTGTCGTCGTCGTCGGTGTTTGCTTGAGCGATTGCGCCAATTTATAATAAGTTCAGTTGCCGGGGGGGTGGGGTGGGGGGGGCTTGGGAGGGGGTGGGGGGCGCTTCCCCGGTGACGGCCGCCCTACTCGCTGTGGTGGATCGGTGCCACAGAGCCACCAGAGCCGCGACAAATCAAACTTCGTAACGCCATCGTCCTGTACATTTTTACTGTGAAGAGCCGTTTTCAACGTTGAAGACAAACAACTCTATTCAAATCCGCTTGCTAGTGATGCACAGTGCGGGACTGCACGGGGGAGGGGTGGGGTTAGGGGGGTTAGGGGGGGGGGGGTTAGCGGGGGGGGGGTCAGGGGGGGTGGTGGGGACGTTGGCAAGAGACTACTAAGGGGACGCGACAGTGCGTCGATTCGTAATCGAGCGGTCTCGATTCCCGCGAGATTTGTCGAGCCTGGGCTTGTCCCCATTTGTCTTGATTAATCGGTGACGCTGCCAATAGCTCGCTTCTGTTACTCGACTAACCAGATAGCAAGTTGGGGGTGAGGGGGAAGTATCACCTCTGTTCCCAGGTGTGCCACTGGACGGGAGGTCGGGTGGTGTGGCTTGAGGGAGGGCGGGAAGCGAGAGCGGCTTCCGATTCTACAGGGGTCGATTAAATGTGGTCGATAAAATTCTATTTTAGTCGATTTAACCGAGGCAATCGTCGCAGCTGGAGATGAGCGCGCGTGTTAGAACGGACGTTCTGCGGTTTGTGTGTGCAAGCGGGTCACGTGACCAGCCTCCCCCCTCCCCCCCGCGCTAAATATTTCACAATACAAATATAGAAATACTATTATATTGAGTTGAATAATAAATCGTAACAACACTACTCAGGAAAGCCTCCACAGCATTTTTTTCACAAGGTCGGGGAGGGGTGGTGGCTGCTGCTCCAGTAGGGGGGGGTGGGGGGGGGAGTTTGGCTTCGCGCGAGAGGAGGAAACCGGAGGAATCTGGAGGAAACTGGAGGAAACCGGAAGAATTTGGAGGAATCCGGAGGAATCTTGGGGAAACCGGAGGAAACCGGAGGAATCCGGAAGAATCTGGAGGAATCCGGAGGAACCCAGAAGAAACGGGAGGAATTCGGAGGAATCCGGAGGAATCTTGGGGAATCTTGGGGAAACCGGAGGAAACCAGAAGAAACCGGAAGAAACCGGAGGAATCCGGAAGAATCTGGAGGAATCCAGAGGAAACTGGAGGAAACTGGAGGAAACCGGAGGAATTTGGAGGAATCTGGAGGAATCCGGAGGAATCTGGAGGAATCTTGGGGAATCTTGGGGAAACCGGAAGAAACCGGAAGAAACCGGAGGAATCTGGAAGAATCCGGAGGAATCCGGAGGAATCGGGAGGAAAGCCCCGGTGGTGGTCACCCATCCCACGTGCTCTGCCACGCTCACGCCTGGCTTGGTGTCCGAGCACGGGCGAGATTGTGTTCGTTCAGGTTCGAGTCGAGTGGCGTCCTGGGGAAATGTGATAACGGCACAGAGGGTCGGCTTTTTGTCGAGACGGTTTTTTTTTTCGTGGATGGGGAGAAAGTGTAAATTATTTAGTTGTATGACCTAATTTGGGGAGACGATACAAATAAAAGCTACGAAAGAAGCGGATTGCAAAGTTCCCCGACGCAGCAAGACGTGGGTTTAAATTTTCTTCCGTGTGCGCGTGTGCGGGTCAACTTTTTCCACGACTCTAAAAAGTCAGACTTATCTAGAATCACAATCTATTGAAGCCTTGGGCGTGTGAGGGTGTGGTGGTGGTGGTGGGGGGGTGTTTTAAACCTTGCACCTTCTCGCGTTCGTCTTGGCACGCAAAAGAACGGTGGGGGGGGGGGTTGATGCTGGTGGGTGCGGGGTGGGGCAGGCGAGGGAGTGGCGATTACAGCTTTTTATTATCGCAAACTCGCTCGGAAATGAACGTGAACACAGCCACGCGGTCTCGACACCTTCCACTCTCTCGAAAGATAAAGATCGCCCGTATAGCCTGCAGAGACTTGCGGGGGCAAGTGCCGTTAGCGAGTAGCGCGTACGAACGGCCCCGCACTCGACCGGGGGGTGGGTTGGCTGGCACCGCGCCCGGCCACCTTTGTCTCCCCAGTGGCGATGTTTACACCCCGCACCAGGTACTCATTTGAGGCTGAGTCGACCTAGGGGAGGCCCAGGACCGGTTCAAATATTCGCTGCGGATTGGTCGCGAGCGGTAATGGAACGCGGGTCGGTCTGGTTTCGTGGTGCTGCGCGTTAACCATGACACTTCCACTCAGCCCAATTCCTCTCCTTCACAAAGATCCCCCGTGTAGCCTTGACAGACTGCTGGGGCAAGTGCTGTTAGCGAGCACCTATGAAGGCCGGCACGGCACACGAGGGGGTGGGTGGCCAGCACCACGCCCGACCGCCTTTGTCTCTCCAGTGGCGATGTTTACACCCCGCACCAGGTACTCAGTTTGAGGCTGAGTCGACCTAGAGGAGGCCCAGGACCGGTTCAGATAATCGTCACCGGTGTTGGCCGTGAGCGGGAATCGAACCCGGGTCAGCCAGGTTCGTAGCGCTAACCGCTACACCACCGCTCCCCACTTAGACACACGCAGAGGCAGGCACGCACACACGGGCGTCCAAACCGGGCAATGTTTATTCGACGCAAACAATTTTTACGGCGCGTTAAATCGGAAGGATGCGAACGTACACAAGGCACACGGACTAGAAGTATTTATAATTTAGAAGTCAGCAACCGCAACGCTTCCCCCCCCCAAACCCCCACCTCCACACCACTAATGACATCTCTCACACAACCCACGTGCAGTTTATCGCGAGCACACACATGCCGAATTAGAATGATACCCCGCCCCCCCCACACCAACAAAAACTTTGCAGAGTCGCCTAATACACATTTGCCCAAATATCGTTCATGTAGTGTTCGGCCTCACGTGGGAGCAAAGCAGACAATCTCTGGAGGTAACCCCCCACACAGCAGCAGCTACAGCAGCAGCTACAACAGCAGCTGCAGCAGCAACAGCAGCAGCAACTACAGCAGCAGCTACAGCAGCAGCTACAGCAGCTACAGCAGCAGCTACAGCAGCAACTACAGCAGCAGCTGCAGCAGCAGCTGCAGCTACAGCAGCTACAGCAGCAGCAGCTGCAGCAGCAGCTACAGCTGGCATAGCAAGCGCCTGGTGTGGTCATTGCATTCTCACAGTGGGATCGAGGTGGTGGAAGGTGGGGGGGGGGGGGGTTCTTGGTGGGGGAGGTGGGGGGGGGGGATCTTGGTGGGGGGGGGTGGGATGTTGATGGGGATGGTGGGGGGGGGATCTAGGTGGGGGAGGTGGGGGGGGATCTGGGTGGGGGAAGTGGGGGGGGGCCTTGTTGGAGATGGGGGTGGATCTAGGTGGGGGGGGGGGGGGGTGGGATGTTGATGGGGGTGCGGGGGTGGTAAGGTGGTGGTGGGGATCTTGGTGGGGGGATGTGTGGGGGGGGAGGGGATCTTGTTGGGGGGGGGGGGTAGGGATCTCCAGAGTGAGGAGGAGGCGACCCCACGTGTCGCTGTAACCAGCGCCGCTCAACCTCGGCCGGGTGTCTCTCCGGGTCATCGGCGTCAAGAACGTCGCCTGACGGCCGCTGCAAGTCACGGCCCATCGACTCCGGACTCGCGTTGACACGGAAAATATCCGGTGGCGAATTTGGCGTCGATGTCAATACCCTCTCTCCTCCACCGGTACAACCCGGCTGTGCCGGAGGGGGGGGGGGGGCTAAGTCAGTGGCACGCCAACGTCAAGAATGGACAAGTCGAGACGCCGTGCGAGTCGCGACACGGCGACACGCGCGACATCAACTCACCGCCAGCTCCTTCCCCGGCCCTGCTTGCCCCCCCCCCCCCCCCGAGCCAGATTCAGACGTCTTTGGCGAGGTCCGGCAAAACAGGGGGGGTGTGGGGGGGGCAAACACGGCACCCACCAGCACCGCGAGCTTGTCCCACCCCCTGGCTCGGTTCGGATGTGCCAGTGGACAAAGGGCGATCGTACGACGAGTACGAGCACTGGGAGGGGCTGAGACGCCGCGGGGGCTTGCTGTGCCAACGGCTCCCGCAGCGCGTAGAAGGTAGGATTAGCGCACTCACTCACACACTCACTCACACTCACACACACACTCTCACACACTCTCACTCTCGCTCACACACACACTACACTCACTCACACTCTCACTCACACTCTCACTCTCTCACACACACACTACACTCACACTACACTCACACTACACTCACTCACTCTACACTCACACTCTCACACTCACACACACACACTCACACACACACACTACACTCACACTACACTCACACTACACTCTACACTCACACTCTCACACTCACACACTACAACTCTCACACTCACACTCTCACACACTCTCACTCACTCTCACACTACTCTCACACACTCTGACACTCACACACTCTGACACTCACACACTCTCACACTCTTACACACTCACACACTACTCTCACACTCACACACTCACACTCACACACTCACACACTCACACACTCACACACTCTCACTCACACTCACACACATCCCTCACACTACCCTCACACACTACTCTCTTACCGTCACACTCGCACACGACTCTCGCTCTCACACAAAGTGCTGGGTACGAAATCCAAAATAGCGCGTCCTCAAAATAGCATCCAAACCCAGCGATGGGGGTGCCTCCCCGTGCCCACCTACCACCCCAGCCCCCCGCCCCGCCCCGGTATATCAGCTTCGTTCACAAATCCCCTTGTTTCAACGGAGCCCAAATGTATCCCCCATTCTTTCACGCGGCTCCCCTTCGACCGACGACCACGCAAAGCCAACTCTGGAACGCGCTATTTCAACGCCACCGCGGCTGTGACAGCGCTGAACCGGGCGTCCACGGCAGTCACAACAGTCTGCTCTGCGCGATTATTATTTATTCCCTTTTATTCTCAGGCTATCGATTTTTTTGTGGTGGGGGGGGTCCCCAAAATTATCTGCCGGCGACGTTATTTGGAGGACGCACTGTACCAGCCGTTGGCTTTTGTTTCGGACGCTGCCACCGCTGGCGCCGCTGACGCCGATTAAAATAAAAAACCCACGGAGGGAGGGAAGGAAAAAAGAAAGCCGCACGGAGGAAACCCGAGAAACGCAACGAAAAAAACAAACAGCGCGGGCAGATTACTCATCACCGCAACCAGCGGCTAAGTTTAGATCGGTGCATGGGAGGTGTGGTGTGTGGCTCCAAGTGCGTGCCAGCGTGTACAGGCACGCGCATCGAGGCAGGCGCAATGTCAAGTGTTGTGTGGGGAGCGCTCACGGCACAACACCGGCGACAATTGTCTGCGACCGGTCCTGGGCCTCCCCTAGGTCGACTCGGCCTCAAATGACTACCTGGTGCGGTGTGTAAAACCATCGCCACGGGGGAGACAAAGCCGGACGGGCGTGTGCCGTGCCGTGCCGTGCCGGCCTTCATAGGTGCTCGCTTAACAGCATTTGCCCCAACAGCCTGCGTTGGCCACACGGGAGATCTACGCGTTTGTGAGAACAGAGGATCTTTGTCTTTCTGTGTGTGCCGGGTGGTGGCGCAGTGGTTAGCGCACTGCACGTGAGTGTTTTGCAGGTGTGCGTGCGTGTGTGTGTAAGACTGTGTGTGTGTACGTAAGAGTCTATCTGCGTGTACACATATATATACTGTATATACAAACGTGAATTATCTCAACCATTGCAGGCAGCTCTTCTCCCGGCCGCGTTCACTGCCTCAGAGCGGCCAGCCTGCGTCAGAGAGTGGGGGGGGAGGGTGAAAGGAACACAGAACCGAAAGTTACACCGGCCCGCTTTCACTGCCAAGGCACCGCTGCGTGCCGACATCGCAACGTGTCACAGCGTGCCGTGGCGGGGTCGTGCCAACGGGTAACGTGGCGGCGTGTACCAGTGGGAGCTGCGGTTGCAATCGCGTACGTCGAAATTGATTGTAATCTCGACCTCGGGTGTCGTAATTTCGGCTTAAAATGCTTTTTAGAACTGCTTTTTGCGTGTTCTCTATCTTGGTTCTTTCGGTAAAGTTTACGTAGAAGGGAAGTAATAAAATAATAAAAATGAAAAACATAATAAAATTGATAATTGTTTTTTTATCCTTCTATCTGGCAACAAAACTGACACCTTTGTTTGCATAGACCACAATACCTGCAGTCATAATGCAAACAAAAAACATAACTCTGATAATGTATGCACTGTCCTTGAAGTTGATTGGTCCAGATGGTCCAACCCATGTGAGACTAGGCTCTAAGGAAAGCTGTCTCGGGTGTGGACCAATCAACTTCAAGGACAGTGCATATATTATCATAGTTGTGTTTTTGTTTGCATTATGACTGCAGGTATTGTGGTCTATGCAAACATGACTCCTTGTAAAAAAGGTGTCAGTTTTGTTGCCAGATAAAAGGGTAAAAAAACAATTATATTTTTTACTGGCAAATTAGGTTCCAATGGTGCTTCTGTAATTGTCGTAGCGGTTTGCAGTGTCCACGTGTCCCTGTGTCCCCGTGTCGTCCCCGTGTGTCGTCCCCGTGTGTCGTCCCCGTGTGTCGTCCCCGTGTGCCGTATCGTCCACGTGTCGTCCCCGTGTGTCGTCCCCGTGTGCCGTGTCGTCCCCGTGTGCCGTGTCGTCCCCGTGTGCTGTGTCGTCCCCGTGTCGTCCCCGTGTGCCGTGTCGTCCCCGTGTCGTCCCCGTGTGCCGTGTCGTCCCCGTGTGTCGTCCCCGTGTGCCGTGTCGTCCCCGTGTGCCGTGTCGTCCCCGTGTCGTCCCCGTGTGCCGTGTCGTCCCCGCATGTCGTCCCCGTGTCGTCCCCGTGTGCCGTGTCCCCCCCGTGTCGTCCCCATGCGTCGTCCCCGTGTGCCGTGGTGGTGGCGGCGTGCCACCTGCGGGACAGCTGGTCCTCCTGGCCGCGGGCGCTGGCCTCGCCCACGGTGGAGGCCCCGGCCGGCAGCTGCTCCAGCTGATCCATGACCTCCAGGCCGTTCTCCTCGGCGATCTGGTGGATGAGGCTCTCCACCTGGTCCTGGGGCGTCGTGAGCGTCGTCGCCGAGCTCATGCTGTCCTCCATCACCTAGGCGACACACGCACGCACACGCACGCGCGTGTCAAGACCACCTGTGTAACGCACGCACGCGCACACACGTGTCAAGACCACCTGTGTAACGCACGCACGCGCACACACGTGTCAAGACCACCTGTGTAACGCACGCACGCGCACACACGTGTCAAGACCACCTGTGTAACGCACGCACGTGCACACACGTGTCAAGACCACCTGTGTAACGCACGCACGTGCACACACGTGTCAAGACCACCTGTGTAACGCACGCACTCACACACACATGTCAAGACCACCTGTGTAACGCACGCACGCACACACACGTGTCAAGACCACCTGTGTAACGCACGCACGCACACACACGTGTCAAGACCACCTGTGTAACGCACGCACCTGCGCACACACGTTAATATCCCGTGTGACACACACACGTTAAGATCTCCTGTGCAAATTTTTTCAGGCGCTGTCTCCCCGACAGACCTGGTCTTCACCTGAGGACGGCTGCTTGCGTTGTGGCCGAAACGTCGTGAGAATTATTTTATTATGTTTTATTTTTATTATTTTATTATTACTTCCCTTCTACGTGACTTTATCGAAAGAACCAAGAAGATGATCTCCTGTGCAACGCACGCATGCACACGTGAAGATCCCCTGTGTTGGCGAAAACGTATGAAGGCCGGTAAGGCACACGAGGGGGTGGGGTGGCCAGCACCACGCCCGGCCACCTTTGTCTCCCTTGCGGAGAAGTTTACACACCGCACCAGGTACTCATTTGAGGCTGAGTCGACCTAGGGGAGGCCCAGGACTGGTTCAGATAATCGTCACCGGTGTTGACCGTGAACAGGAATCGAACCTGGGTCCGCCAGGCTCGTAGCGCAGCGTGCTAACTGCTACGCTACCGCTCCCCACACACATGTACACACACACACGTACACACACACATGTACACACACACACGTACACACATGTACACACACACACACGTACACACATGTACACACACACACACGTACACACACACACACACACGTACACACTTACACACACACACACGTACACACACACATTCACGCACGCACACAGATCCTCCGGGTAACCATGCGCACCAGACGGGCCGAAGCTCTGTTAGCGAGCACCTATCAAGGCCGGCACGGCACACGCGGGGATTGCCGTTTGGCCAGCACCGCGCCAGGCCGTCTTTGTCTCCCCAGCAGTGTGCAAGTGTTGGTCAGGGGGAGAGGGGGCAGGTCGTGCGAGCGATGACGCGGAACTCACCGAGGTGTGGACGTCCAGGTTCTGCACCTGGTGCTCAAACTTGTCCATGACGGCCGACACCTTCTGCAGGTCCATCGACTTGAGGGCCTTGTCCAGCGACTTGGTCACCTGACCCATGTTCTTGGTCACCTGATCGAAAAGACAGAGATGCCCCCGTATAGCCTCGTCAAGACTGCTGTGGCAAGTGCCGTGAGCGAGCGACACCCAAGATCAGCACGGCGCACCAGGGGGTGGTGGTGTGGCGAGCACCTCGCCCAGCCGCATTTATCTCCCCAGTTCTGACGTAGATGACACACCGCACCGGGAACTCATTTGGGAGGAAGCTGGAGATGCCAGAGAAATAGTGCGCGTGTTGCGGTGCCCTCATGTCGCCTTGTCCCGGTGCGGTGCTGCGGTGCGCGGTGCTGTGGATCATTCCACCGGTGCGGTGCAATTGGGTTATTCCACCGGCGGTCCTCACCGCCTTCATGGTGACCGCGCTCTGCACTTTGGATGCGACGGCGTCGACGCGGGACGCCATGCGGAGCCAGTTGAGCCCCTCGTTCTTCTTGCGGATCGAGTTCTCCGCGTAAATCCGCGCGCCCTCCACATTCTTCTGCTGCAGCGCCTGGTGGGCGGCGGGAGGTGGAGGGAGGTGGAGGGAGGGGAGGTGGGGGGAGGTGGTGGGAGGTGGAGGGAGGGGAGGAGGGAGGGAGGGGAGGGAGGGGAGGGAGGGGGAGGGAGGGGGAGGGAGGTGGAGGGAGGGGAGGGGGAGGGGAGGTGGGAGGGAGGGGAGGGAGGGGGAGGGAGGGGAGGGAGGGGAGGGAGGGGAGGGGGAGGGAGGTGAAGGGAGGGGAGGGAGGTGAAGGGAGGGGAGGTGGGAGGGAGGGGAGGGAGGGGAGGGGGAGGGAGGGGAGGGAGGGGAGGGAGGTGGGGGGAGGGAGGGGAGGTAGGTGGGGGGAGGGGAGGTGGGAGGGAGGGGAGGTGGAGGGAGGGGAGGTGGAGGGAGGGGAGGTGGCGGGAGGGGAAGTGGGGGGAGGGGAAGTGCATAGGGGAGGTGGAGGGATGAAGGGGTGGGGATGGGGGGGGGCATGAGAGGAGTTTTCGGTTCATTTTTGGTTCACGCAGTTGCCGAGTGTATGAGCCCCCAAACTCGCACGATGTCACGCAGCCGCAGTGACCGACGGCACTAGATTCGGCTGTGGAGAATTGCTCCTCAACTCGCAGAGCGCCGACAAATGATAACCGGCGCTTTTGTTTCGACGTTTGTACGCGTGACAATTAAAAAAAAACTAGGTCAAACCCAAGAATAAATAACGAATCGTAACACTGGCCGCGGAAACCCACTGCGCTAAGTTAGTGGGGGCAAAGTTGCACGAGGTGAGGGTTAAGACGTTCATCTGGAACGGAGTAAGGCTATTTTATTGTAAGCGCTTGGGGAAAGAGACGATGGGAGTGTGGGGGTTAAATACGGTGTGGATAAGACGTAACAGCCAGCCCGTGTCGCTGATGTGACGCAAAGGTCAATAAGAAGTGGGCAAAGTTTACTACCAGTCACTCAACATCAACATGTAATTGTGCCCAAAGTAGGTGATGCCGTCACCACCACCACCACCACCACCACACCTCGCCAATGCTTTATACCCTCCGTCAGTTCCTGCAGCTGCTGAGCGGTGGAGACACACAGCGACCTCCAAGATCAGCCCTGACAGTCACCCACCATCTGCTCTTAGATAGAGTCCCATAGGCTCAGACAGAGACCCACAAGCTCACAGAGACCCACAGACTCGCACAGAGAGCCACAGACTCGCACAGAGAGCCACAGACTCACACAGAGACACACAGACTCACATAGAGGGTCACACAGAGACCCACAGAGACCCACAGGCTCACACAGAGACCCACAGAGACCCACAGGCTCACACAGAGACACACAGACTCGCACAGAGAGCCATATCGCTTCTGAAAAGAGCTACGCAGTTTAGTGCGCCTCACCCGGTAAAATAAAATAAGTGTAAGAGTTGAGTTTCGATAAGAGCCAATGCCCGTCTCGTTGCGCCAAGGTGGCAGAACGCTCTGCCCACTGAGCGCTACCTCCCGCAAGCCCCGGTGGTGATGGTCACCCATCCACTGGGTGCATTCAGAGCGATTCGAGTGGCAGTCCTGGGAAAAAGTGACAGTTGAGTGCGCCTTCCCTGGTAAAAAATAAAAAAAATAGTTCAAGTGGCACACGTGGGTATGCGGGCGGCGCTTTACCTTCTTGACTTTGGCCTGCTCTGTCTTGGCGTCCTTCTCCGCCTTCTTGGAGAGCTTCTCCAGCTGCTTCGCTGTGAACTGAGAGCGGAGCAGCAACGTTGACCACCACAGCAGTAGCCGTGTGTACGCCGGGTACACACACACAGGGCACACACACACAGGGTAAACACGCTACAAAGACCCTGCTGGGGTAAGTGCTGTTAGCGAGCACCTATGAAGGCCGGTACAAGTGGGTGGTCTCCCTAGTGGCGATGTTTACTACACCGCATCAGGTTCTCATTTGAGGCCGAATCGACCTAGGGGAGGCCCAGGACCGGTTTAAATATTCGCCACTGTCATTGATTGTCGTGAGCGGGAATCGAACTTGGGTCGCCAGGTTTGTAGCGTAGCGCACAAAAAACTGCACCACCACCCTCCAATCGTATATACAACAACCGCCATTCGCTACTAAGTGGCGGTGACGTCACTTGTGCCAGGCTATGTGCACGTTAAGGCCACGTGAAGTGTCAAACGCCCGTTGGCAGGCGGTCACGGGACAGACCCAGCAGGTGCCATGCGTTGCCTTAGTGAAATGACCGGCTGATGCACCACTTGTGCCCCCTACTGTGCTAACTGTGTATAATCTTAATTTTAGAACTTTCGTGACTGCAGTAAATGATTATTTGGTTCTTTCGGTTAAGTCACGTCTAAAGATAAAATAATAAATTAACTGTGTATACCCTAGCGGGGAGCAGTAGTGTAGCGGTTAGCGCGCTGCACTACGAACCTGGCGACCCGGGTTCAATTCCCGTTAACACCTGAGCACCACACACACCTTAAAACCACACACACCTTACCTCCAACTCCAAACACCTGAACACAAACAAACTAAAACATCGGCGACCCTTTAATGCATCATCAACTGAAACCAAAAGGCGTTGTGATCGGATCAAAACCAGCCTGCGACGGGATAAATAATCTTCGAGAAACGCAAGTCGCCCCGTCAACAATTGGGCATCGTCACAACTCTGTTGACACGTTAAAGTCGTCGTCTGTTTGTGCCGTGAATCGCAGGTGAGGAGCGCTTTTTACCTTCAACTGGAACAAAGTGTCTGCGAAAAGAGAGAGACACACACACACGCGCGCGAGTCAACAACATAACGCAATAAAGATTCCGATTCTGAACCATGTACACAATTCTCCACGTGATGTGTGTGTAAAAAAAACTAACTCGACGCAATATCGCGACGCATGCCCGCCGGCTACGTGACGTTAAGTGACGACACCGGCAATTGATCGACACAAGCACACGCTGGAGCGGTCTCCGGCATTCCGTGTTTCGTGGGGAGACAGGGAAAGTGCCGAGGGGAACGAGAGGTAACAGGGGAGGTTACAGAAGAGGTAACAGAAGAGGTAACAGGGGAGGTAACAGGACAGGTAACAGAAGATGTAACAGGACAGGTAACAGAAGAGGTATCAGGAGAGGTAACAGGACAGGTAACAGAAGAGGTAACAGGGGAGGTAACAGAAGAGGTAACATAAGAGGTAACATAAGAGGTAACATAAGAGGTAACAGGACATGTAAGAGAAGAGGTAACAGAAGAGGTAACAGAAGAGGTAACAGGGGAGGTAACAGGGGAGGTAACAGAAGGGGTAACAGAAGGGGTAACAGAAGAGGTAACAGGGGAGGTAACAGGGGAGGTAACAGAAGATGTAACAGGACAGGTAACAGGACAGGTAACAGGGGAGGCGATTTGTAGTAGAGGCGAGTCAGAAGGGGTGGGGGGGGGGTATAGCTGAGAGGGGGGCGTGAGGAGAGATAGGGAAGCGATACAGGAGAGAGGGGGGAGAGAAAACATGGGACATACAAAGGGAGATGAGAGGGAAGATCTGTCATGTGACCGACTGGACATCTGCGATAAAGAGCTTCACAGCTTATCGGATTCCCTCCTCCAGGAAAAATAAAAATTATTCTGATCGATGAGAGGGGGGGGGGGGGGTATGGGGGGAGAGGGGAGGGATGAGACTACACGGGACTGATAATAAGATCATTGTATACCACAGGAGGAATCCGATGTGCTACAAAGCTCTTTTGTTCACAGATGTCCAGCAGGGGCAGGGCAGAACGTGACAACAAACAACACAGAAACACGATGGGGGGGGGGGGGGCGTGAAATAATAGGTGAGGTAAACGAATCACACGAACAAATATACACACAATTTTAACACGTAGGCTTTCGCGACCAATATTATTAATAATCAACGTTTTTGGGTTTAGATCGCAATTCTGGCGAATTGCCCGATGATGCTGGATGCAATTACCAGCGAAACGTCGTACTACTCAAATTGTAAATGTTGTGGTTTCACGCTTCAACACACCGGTGGGCTAAAGCAGTGAACTATTTGTCTTTTGTCAACGTGACACTTTTTTACTGATTGGCCGTGTCGGGTGGTGGAGGGTTACGACACATTTATAAATAACGCGATCTAAACCCAAAAATGTTGATTATGAATACACAATTTTGTTTGTCATCTTACCGGGTAAAGTCCACTGAAGGTATAAACTTATGTTTCAGAAGCGACCAGGCAACAAATGATAGCTTAGCGAAGTTTCTTATCGTCGTATGGAAGTGTATAACGGTGGGGGGGGGGAGGGACGCCCACACGCCCCCGCCGCCAAAGAGGCGCTCCATCGCGGGCCAACCAGCCAGGAAAACCCGCAGGCTTCTCACTAGGCCGCACTCGGCCTCCTCTTCCACAACATCTCCGGCTCAGCGCAACTGACTTACGCACGCGAACCACGCACCCACCACCACCACCACACACGCACCCCTTGCCGTAGTTGTCAGTCACTCTCACACAACAGCCCACAACAAACACCGCAACAAACACCGCCAACAGCGTCCCTTACCGTCCATGGCGAGTCGGGGGGGTCTCCGTCTCTTCCTTCTTGGTGACGTCACCAACCGCGGTTACGCAACGCCCCGCCGCCGATGACGTCACTGCTCCCCGTCGACGACGTCATAACAGCCACGCCCTCTCACTCGATGACGTCGCGCGTCACGCGCTCAAGTCACCAACCGTGGTTGCGCAACGCCCCGCCCCCGGTGACGTCACTGCTTCCCGTCGACGACGTCATAACAGCCACGCCCTCTCACTCGATGACGTCACGCGCCGAGCACGTGCTCGTGATGACTCCTCGCTCAGCTGACTTGGGGGGGGGTGCGTGTCTTGGCTACCGTCACCACCACCTCCTCTCCTCCTCGTTGAGGATTATCCGCCGCCTTCTAGAGGCCGCCAGCCGTGGCGACGGAGCGATGCGATGAGCCCCCGTTGGCGCGCGGGTGGATCGTTGTTCTTGTGGTTGTTGTTGGTTGTTTGACTTGCATCCCACTGCGTTGGTGTACGGTGTTTTTTTCTGCAATATTTTTTTTTCTTGGATTTTATGTTTGCACTCAAGTCACATATTCACTTTAAGATGTTTTTTTTTGCTTAATGTTTTTGTTGGTTGCGGTTGCACCCGATTCAAGAGCCGAATGGCTCACAGGGCCTATACCTAATAAATAAATGAACTTGCTGCCTCGCGGGGCACGGCGGCTTGGGGGCAGTGGATTGAGCACGGCTTGGTGATGGTTACGCTGCCTGTCGTTGGCAAGACGTGCAGCGCACACACGGGGGGTTGAGGCGTATTCTTGCCTGAAGACAACCTACCCCCGTCGTCAACAGAGACCTCCACGATGTACCGATCCCCCCCCCCCAGCCCCCTTCCGTCAACATTCTCGGAATTTCATTCGCCCAGTTCCAGGAGGAACGCCGGCGAAACAAGAGTGAAACGCAACAACTCAGTCGAGAGTCACAACTTCGCACCTCGTGGGTGTGACACTACTAAGGGGCCGTCCATAAATGACGTCACGCGATTTTGTACGATTTTTGACCCCCCCCCCCTCGTCACACGGCGTCACGAAAAGTCAGACCCCCCCCCTCAAACATGACGTCACAAAGCTCTGCCCCCCCCCCCCCCCCCCCCCATTTTGAAAATAAAAGATGCTTCAAATCGCTTTAAACTATTGTCATTGAAGTGCATATTTAATGTGGCGCTGCACTCTGATGTAGGAGTGTTGTTATCAAAATTAGTGTGGCTATAACAATTCTATATTTATTTAAAGTTGCGCATTTTGATGTAGCGTCACATTTTCCAACCCCCCCCCCCCTCGTCACACATTCACACCAAATGTAAAAAAAATGTTTAATGGATGTCGCGGAGCCTGATTCACAACAGTTCAACGAATCGTGAATGTCGGTGGGTCGGGGGCGAATGTTATACACCCCCACCACAAGTTATATATCTCTTGATGACCAACGGCCCCCCCCCCCCCACACCAGGTAGCGCTTATTGTCTCCCACTGACAATGACCACACGGCCGCGCGGTTTCGCCGCCTGCTGCAGAAACTCGCGGTTCGGATCCGGCAGGCCGCCCCTAGCAAATAGTACGGGGCGTCGTGAACCGTAGATCGACATTGCGCCGTCCGCTTACGCGGGAAGGCGCGCGTTGACCGCGCAGTGAACGGGTCATGCAGATCCCCCGTGTGACGTCGTTCGCAAGAGAGCGCTGCTCGTCAGTCGTGTGCCAGCAACGACAAAAAAGGTAGATACTCGCTAATTTCATCGATTGAAATGTACATTTTTTGTTTTTAGCGGAACAACCTGTTTTGAAACGTCAAAATAAATTAAGCGGACAATATATTTCCTTCGTACATCTGTCCGTTGAAAAAAAGAATTGCTGTTTTTTTTTTTTAAAGTCCCATCGACCACACGGCCGTCCTGGGAGTGCACGATTTCGGCAGCAGTTGATTCAAAAACAAGCAAACTCTGGACCAGTTTCACCATACCAGTCTCTCATCAGCAGTATCGTGCTCGCGTGAACCAACGTTGGTGAACTGCCGGATGTCGAGACTTCGTGAGGCTTTCTCGGGAAAATAAGCGGAATAAAATTATAATAAACCCGTAATGACCCAGCCCCCCCCCCCCGCTCCACACCTAATGACAATTATCTCATTCAGCAAATGCATTTAACTCTCGATCCGTGGGCAGATTATCCGGATGGCGGGTTAGGCCGTGCTTGCGAAAGAAAAATAAATAAACCATCTTTACGCACGCGCACGCGAGTTCAATCGTCAGTCGCTGCTCCTCACTCGCCAGGGGGTTTCGTGACTCAGGCGCCCCCGTGTGACCGCCAACTTGTCAGAAAGTAAAGCGGTTTGAAGCGATAAAAAAAGAGATAATAATCGTAAGATAACCCAATCCATGTCGCCGCCCCTCCCCTGTTGTGCGTAGATAAACGAAAAAATACGTTTCGATTTAAAGCTTTCGTGACTGCAGGGATTCATCTTCTTGGTTCTTTCGGTACAGTCACGTAGAAGGGAAATAATAAAATAATAAAAATAAAACATAATAAAATACAATTCTCACGACGTTTCGGCCACAACGCAAGTAGCCGTCCTCAGGTGAAGAACAGGTCTGTCGGAAAGACAGCGCCTGAATGAACACCATATACGCAGCCAAGCTTGGTGGTGTTCATTCAGACGCTGTCTTTCCGACAGACCTGTTCATCACGTGAGGACGGCTGCTTGCGTTGTGGCCGAAACGTCGTGAGAATTGTATTGAATGTTTGATTTTTATTATTTTATTATTTCCCTTCTACGTGACTTTACCGAAAGAACCAAGAAGAAAAAAAATACGTCTTTGCCACGTATCCACCCTTGCCACTGAATAATAACGCACAAGGTTTCCCTCGCTCGATGCGGGGCCCGTTTGTCGGACCTCGCGCCGTATATGCGGATAAACTATTTCTACCCAGGACGTCGCGTGCTTCGAATCCACTCGCACCGCGGCTACGCGGTCGCATGCGGGACAGCGTTTGCGTACCGCGGCCGTGCGTGCCGTACGCGCTTACGCCGGGCCAGACAGCCGTCTCTCTCGCCTCGTGCGGTTTCGCTTTGCGTGCCCATTTCGGAGATCGCATCTGCTGCTGCTGCCGCACAGGAGCGAGGGAAATCTCGACCGCCGACTCCGTAACGCGGGCGTCGCCACGCAGCAGTCACTCGCTCTCACGGAGAGACGACTTGGAGCAGCGAGGAAGGAACCGCAGACGAGCGGGAAGGTGGTGGCGGCGTCAGCGACGCGAGATTTGCAGGCGGTGAAGCGCACTGCGCCATCAACACGGAGACCCGAGTTCGATGACCTGGATACGGGGAACAAGTCCGTCAAGTCAAAGCGATTCCGTGCTGGCGTGAGGCAAGCGGTGGAAATGTCACTTTCCTGTGGCGGGGGAAAGTATATCCATGGGACAACCAACGCTGACCACCTTACAAATTAGTACTCATGTTATCGACTCGAAAGCAATGATGATGGGCTGAGTCGACCCACAACCAGAACTTGCAAGCTTCCCATCATAAGCCCGCTCGCTCTACCGCTCAGCCACCCACCCCTGGCCATCAGCGGTTGAATTATCTGAAGCGGTCCCGGGCGCTGCTGTCATCGGCCTGTGCGGTGAAGTATGGTCAAACATCCCCCACAAGCGAATCGGTTACGGCGACGCCTTTACCGCGGAGCGGATTGACAGAGTTGTAAATCATTTCATTGTCGTGTTATCGTTACCACGACTGTTTGCACATAGTCAAATAGTCACTTTAAGCTGTTTTCTTGTTCATGTTTTTGTTTTTTGTTTGTTGCGGTTGCACCCGATTCAAGAGCCTAATGGCTCACAGGGTTATTCCAAATAAATGAAACGAATGAAATGAAATGAAAAAGCTGAAGCAGGGTCGAGTTATGGATAGTGATCGGATTCGAGACCGCTGTGTGTACCAGGTGCTATAGGTCGGCTGCGGTCATACGCTGTGGTTCGGCCAAATGCAGCAAAAGCCAGGAACTACGTACAGCCAGTGCCAATCCACTGCTGGGTCAGGGGCCTCCTCGTGCCCGCGTGCTTCGTGGATAAGCTGTTGCTGCAGTGCCCCTCTTCTGTCCACCTCCCAGCCCCGCAGGCCGACGGCAAAGCGCTTTAAACGCCGCTCGCCTCGGCACGCATGAGCCAGGTTCAAACCTGCTCGGCTTCCAAGGCAACTCGGTCGTCGATTAATTAACAAACTCATTAATTCCGCTGCCGAAACTTCCTCTCCACCAGGCGAGAGAAACCCCCTCCAAGGGGCTTCCCTTTATATTTATTGCAAATATCATCTTTAAAAAAATTATCCACCAGCAATGGCAGTAATAATAATACATTTAAAAAGTGATACACACTCAGGACCGGATTCAGTCTCCCTCCACCCGCCCCCCCTCCCCTCCCCCCTCCCCTCCCTCCCTCCCTCCTCCACCAACCCGTCGTTCAGTTTCCCGCCCACAACCCTCCTGCCCCGCCCCCCCACCTCAATTTAACTCATCGCTGTCGCTAATTAATCCCTTGAGCTCCCTCCCCCCGCCCGCCCGCCCGCCCCGCCGATGACATCCGCACGCTAACAACGGCTCGAGAGGCCTCAGCCGCCGCAACCGCCGCGTTCAGTTTCGTCGACGTAGCCATCCACCGTCGCGTGTGTGCAGGCGATGCAACTGCACCGGTGGGCGGCCCATGGGCTGGAGTGGTGGCCAGCTGCAGGGGCTACGGCGAGCGAGAGAGAAAGAGGCATTGCGGTACTGGATGTGGTGCGCCGGGTGCAGAAATGTTTTCCAGTTCAAATGAAGACCTGGTCTTGCCGCCCATCCCCCGACCACCACCGTCGCATGATTATTGTTTAGCGTCGCTGTCGTTTGCCGTGAATCATCGCGCGACGCGGTTGGCGGGCGTCACACTGTCGCTCCTCCCCCCCCCCCCCCCCCCCCCGGGTTGCGTGGAGCCGGGCGGGGTCCCGACGGAGGTCACTTGACCGTCGCCGTCGTGGCCTGGGTCCGTGCCGCCACCCACGCCATGAACACGTCCCTGTCGCAACATCGTCGTAAC